GGGTTCTAGGAATTCGGATATGGACATCATTGGGAACCTTTCTGAGCCTACCTCGATGAGTGTGGTTGTGATGATGAGCACAGAGACAGGCTCACTTTCCCTATGTTCTTTTTTCTTAAAGATTTTATTTATTTATTTGACACAGAGAGAGAGAGAGAGAGAGAGAGAGAGAGAGAACACAAGCAGGGGGAGGGGCAGAGAGAGAGGGAGAAGCAGATTCCCCGTGGAGCCCGGAACCCGATGCAGGACTCAATCCCAGGACCCTGGGATCATGACCTGAGCTGAAGGCAGGCGCTTAACGACTGAGCCACCCAAGCGCCCCTTTCCTGTGCTCTTCGGCAGCTCTGGAATATAGCACCCAGGTCTTTCCTCCACAAATAACATTTTGCTAGAGCAGCCTTCAACCTTGTAAATATCTAGCTTTCTTTTCATGGCAAAGGTAATCCATGAGCACTGCAAACATTTGAACAATGCAGAAATGCACTGCTCCTACCAAAAAAAATTTTTTTCTTTAAGTGACAAGTCTCCACTCCATCCTTCTGAAACTCCTATGGAGTTTGGAGTGTGTTCAGCTATACTTTTACAAGCGTGGTATTTGTGTTTGGGGACGGACACGTGGGTGCACTATGTTTAGCAAGTTTTAGTTGCACTGAATTGAAGCCATGTGTGGGGTCTACAGGGACTGAGCAAGAATTTGGAAGGTCGGGGGCGCCTGGGTGGCTCAGATGGTTAAGCGTCTGCCTTCAGCTCAGGTCGTGATCCCAGAGTCCTGGGATCGAGTCCCGCATCGGGCTCCCTGCTCCGCGGGAAGTCTGCTTCTCCCTCTGCCTCTCTCTCTCTCTGTCTCTCATGAATAAATAAATAAAATCTTTAATAAAAAAAAAAAAGAATTTGGAAGGTTGGTTTATGAGGGTTTGGTGCTGGTTGGGAGGAGGTGTTGTTACACACTCTGACCTCAAGGGGGCGCGGGGGCTGAGGGAGGCTCAGGAAGCCAGGTCACACCTCCTTGATGTTTTTTAGGATTTTGGACCAAAGTTGTGTATTGCCTTAAATTACAGGTTCTTTTTTTTTTTTTTAAGACTTTATTTATTTATTTGAAAGAGAGAGTGAGCACGAGTTGGGGGGAGAGGCAGAGGCAGAGGGAGAAGCAGACTCCCTGCTGAGCAGGGAGAGTGACCAGGGGCTCAATCCCAGGACCCTGAGATCATGACCTGAGCGGAAGGCAGCCGCTTAACCCATTGAGCCACCCAGGTGCCCCAAATCACAGGTTCTTAACGTTTTCTATGCTTTAGACCCTTGGTGAAGTTATGAACTTCTCAGATTTTTTTTTTTTAAACTTATTTTGATGTAATTTCCAACTTAAATTGGAAGTGGCAAGGAGAGTAAAAGCAACTCCGGTATGCCCTTCACCCAGACTTACTCATTGTTGCATTTGCCCCTGGTGCTTCCTTTAGTATGCTCCCACTATATGCTTGGGGGGCAGGGGGGGCGACAGGTAATCAATCAGGTTCTCTAGAAGAACAGAACCAACAGGATAAAGAGGGATGCCTGGCTGCCTCAGCTGGTTAAGCACCGACTCTTGATTTCGGCTCAGGTCATGATATCAGGGTCATGGGATCGGGCCCTGCATCAGGGGGTCCGTGCTCAGCGAGGAATCTGCTGGAGATTCTCTCTCTCTGCTCCTCTCCTCTCTCTTTCAAATAAAAATAAATAAGTAAATAAAAATTTTTTTAAAAACTAAATAAATAAATAAAATTTAAAAACTAAGAGGCATGCCTGGGTGGCTCAGTCAGTTGAGCGGCTGACTCTTGATTTCCACTCAGGTCATGGTCCCAGGGTCATGAGACGGAGCCCTGCATCCAGCTCCTTGCTCAGTGGGGACTCTGCTGGAGACTTTCTCTCTCCCTCTCTCCTCCTCCCCCCTGCTTTTTCTCTCTAAAATAAATCAACCTCGGGGCACCTGGGTGGCTCAGTTGGTTAAGCGACTGCCTTCGGCTCAGGTCATGATCCTGGAGTCCCAGGATCGAGTCCCGCATCGGGCTCCCTGCTCGGCGGGGAGCCTGCTTCTCCCTCTGACCCTCCCCCCCTCTCATGTGCTCTCTGTCTCTCTCATTCTCTCTGTCTCAAATAAATAAATAAAATCTTTAAAAAAATAAAATAAAATAAATCAACCTCAAAAAAAAAAAAAGGATAAAGGAACGGGGTGGGGGGAGGGAGGAGGGGGAAGGATATTTGTCTTAAGAAACTGGCTCATGGGGGCTCCTGGGTGGCTCAGTCAGTGGGCGTCTGCTTTCGGCTCAGGTCATGATCCCAGGGTCCTGGGATCGAATCTCGCTTCAGGCTCCCTGCTCTGTGGGGAGCCTGCTTCTCCCTCTCCCCCTGCTTGTGTTCCCTCTCTCGCTGTGTCTCTCTCTGTCAAATAAATAAATAAAATCTTTAAAAAAAAAAAAAGGAAGGAAGAGAAAGAAAGAAAGAAAGAAAGAAAGAAAGAAAGAAAGAAAGAAAGAAAGAGAAAAAGAAACTGGCTCATGCAATTGTGGGGGCTGGGAAGCCTTGGGAAACTGACGCAGAAGGTCTACATTTATATCTATATATCTCTATTTTTGCATTTTCCTCCAGAATCACTTGAGAGTAAGCTGGAAACCCCGAGCCTCTTTAGCACAGGGCAAGCAGGAAATGTACTGTGGATACCATCCTCAGTCCTCGTCCAAATCTCACCAGTTGTTCCGATAAGTGCTCTTATCACTTTTGCTTTCCAAATCATGTTTTTGTAACTACACTGAAAAACACCTTTTGTCCATTTCAACAGCATAATAAATCTTAGCTAGAAACCTGTTTATTCAATCATGGCCCTATTGGTGGAATTAGGTGGTTTCCAGCACTTTTGTTCATACCAGTGACACACCATCATACACTACCTTGGTGCCTGTGTAAAAGCATTTTTTTAAAGATTTTACTTATTATTTATTTGCGAGCGAGCGAGAGAGAGAATGTGCAGGGGGGAGGGACAGAGGGAGGGGAGAAGCAGACCCTCGGCTGAGCAGGACCCTGGGATCATGACCTGACCGAAATCAAGAGAGGGATTCTTTTTTTTTTTAAGATTTTATTTATTTGACAGAGAGAGAGATAGCGAGAGAGGGAACACAAGCAGGGGGAGTGGGAGAGGGAGAAGCAGGCCTCCTGCGGAGCAGGGAGCCCGATGCAGGGCTCGATCCCAGGACCCTGGGATCATGACCTGAGCCGAAGGCAGTCACTTAACCAACTGAGCCACCCAGGAGCCCCTTAAAGATTTTATTTATTTATTTGACAGAGAGAGAGACAGCGAGAGAGGGAACACAAGCAGGGGGAGTGGGAGAGGGAGGAGCAGGTCTCCCGCCGAGCGGAGAGCCCGACGCGGGGCTTGATCCCAGGACCCTGGGATCATGACCTGAGCCGAAGGCAGTCACTTAACCAACTGAGCCACCCAGGAGCCCCTTAAAGATTTTATTTATTTATTTGACAGAGAGAGACACAGCGAGAGAGGGAACACAAGCAGGGGGAGTGGGAGAGGGAGAAGCAGGCCTCCCGCCGAGCAGGGAGCCCGATGCGGGACTCGATCCCAGGACTCGATCCCAGGATTCTGGGATCATGACCTGAGCTGAAGGCAGACGCTTAACAACTGAGCCACCCAGGCGCCCCCATACAAGCATTTCTCGCACATAACTCTCCACAAGTGGAACTGGGGCAGAGTGGGTGTACGTCATTCCCAATGTTGGTGTCTCTCCCTCCTCAAGACCCAGACCCATGCTGTTGGCTACACCAGACACATGTGCCTACTGAGTAACTGAAATGTGGTGCATACAAACTGGGATGTGCCTTGAGTGTAACCCACACCCCAGATTTCAGACTTACTGCAAAAAAAAAAAAAAAAAAAAAGACTGTAAAAGATCTCAGTAATTTTTATACTGTATTGTAACAATATAATATAAATATATAATATCAAGATCATTATGACTAGAATATAATAATATGTCATTAATATCATTGGCCTAATTCGAATATATAATAATTATATTATTGAGCATGTTACTATTATTATTTCATCTGTTTCTTTTTACTTTTCTTTTTTTCTTTTTTTAAGTAAGCTCTAGGGATGCCTGGGTGGGTCGGTTGGTTGAGCATCTGCCTTTGGCTCAGGTCATGATCCCAGGGTCCTGGGATCAAGTCCCACATCAGGCTCCCCGTGCAGCGGGAAGCCTGCAGAACCCTCTCCCTCTGCCTGCCACTTCCCCTGCTTGTGTGCTCTGTCAAATCAATAAATAAAAGTCTTAAAACAACAACAACAACAACAACAAGAAATCTAGCAGAGGAAAATATGTGAGAGAAGGATGGGCCAATGAATTTCTTCCATTATTAAATCAGACAACTGTGAGATGCAGGAACAGCCCACAAGGTTGCCCTGACTTCTGAGTCTAGAAACAGTTGTGCTCATAGTTACAGTTTATTACATGCAAAGGATAGAGACTATAATCAGCCAAGGGAAGAGACGCAGGGGGCAGAGACCAGGAGAGCTCTGTACTCAAGAGTTTCCACTTGTCCTCCCCCCACAGAGACGCGGACAGCTCTTTGTTGGCCACAGCGTGAGACGAAACAGATGGAGCATCGCCTACTAGGACGTTCACCCAGGCTTTGATGTCTAGTCTTTGCTGGGGCTTGGTCCGGTAGACCTGGTTGGTCACCACTGTGGCTGATCTCGGTCTTCAGACCCTCTGGTGGCCTAGTTGATTGATGCCACGTGACACAAAGCCCCCACCTTAAATCCCATTATTAGACTATCTGGAGTAGCCCAAGGCTCCAGGTAAACCAAGACACTGTTATCAGGCAGGACATTCATTCCAAGAGCTGCAGTTATCTCCCAGGAGCTGAGGAAAAGCCAGAACTCTCTTTGGACAAGGGTAAATTTTTTACTACATATCAACCAATCATAATGAGAGAGTTTTTAGGGGTTAAAAGTTACTTACATAGGGATGCCTGGGTGGCTCAGTCGGTGAAGCATCTGCCTTCAGCTCAGGTCATGATCCCAGATCAAGTCCCCCATCGGGCTTCTTGCTCAGCGAGGAGCCTGCTTCTCCCTCTTCCTCTGTTGCTCCCTCTGCTTGTGCTCTCTCTATGAAAAATAAATAAAAATTTTTTTTTAAGTTACTTACCTAGGACAAAACAAAATCTGAAGTTTAGGTGTCTTATAAGATTCCTTTGTTAGAAATAATATTTATAGGGGTATTTTTTTTTAAAGATTTTTATTTATTTATTTGAGAGAGAGACTGAGAGAGAGAGAGCATGAGAAGGGGGAGGGTCGGGAGGGTCAGAGGGAGAAGCAGGCTCCCCGCCGAGCAGGGAGCCCGATGTGGGACTCGATCCCTGGACTCCAGGATCATGACCTGAGCCGAAGGCAGTCGCTTAACCAACTGAGCCACCCAGGCGCCCTATAGGGGTATTTTTATGATGCAGAATCATATCTGCTTTCCTGAAATTATGGAGGAAGGAGAAAAGATTTTTTTTTCCTGCTCTTGCTGAGATTTGTTCTTACCAGTAGTTAGAAAGACCTACAGTTTCAAAATAAAGCGCTGGGATTCTTTCAGTTTGCCTTGAGAGGGGGAAAAAAAAATGGTAGTAGGCCTGACAACTCAGAGAGTGTAAGAAGATACATTACATATCTCCAGCAAAGGATTTGTATCTAGACTCTATAAAGAATTTGTACAGGGGCACCTGGTTGGCTCAGGCAGTTTAGCGTCTGACTCTTGATTTTTGGCTCAGGTCGTGATATCAGGGTTGTGGGATCGAGCCCCGCCTTGGGCTCCCCACTCAGCGTGGAGTCTGCTTGAGATTCTCCCTCTCCCTCTGCCTCTCCCCACCTCTAAAATAAATAAATCTTTAAAGAAAAAAGAAAGAAAGAAATTTGAGGACAAAAACTAGATTTTGGGGCACCTGGGTGGCTCAGTCGTTAAGCGTCTGCCTTCAGCTCAGGTCATGATCCCAGGGTCCTGGGATCGAGTCCCACATCGGGCTCCCTGCTCAGCGGGAAGCCTGCTTCTCCCTCTCCCACTCCCCCTGTTTGTGTTCCTGCTCTCGCTATCTCTCTCTCTGTCAAATAAATAAATAAAATCTTAAAAAAAAAAAAACAAACAAACTAGATTTTGGTGTCATAAGCCCGGGTAGAGGTTTCTCTTGGGGGCAGAAACTATAAGGGGCGCTGGGGCCGAGGGGGTCTGGGGACTGGAAACGTGCTTTTTCTTGATCTGAATGTCGTCGGTTCCACAGGGACGTTGACAATTCATTAAGCTGCACCTTCACGACTGCTGAACTTTCCTGCCTGGGTGTTACATGTCAGTTCAAAGCGTTTTTTTAAAGTAGGCCCGAGAGGCTTCAGATTTATAGGATGGGAAGAAAAGGAGCAGAAAGGGACCATGACCAGGTGGCATACAAAGCACACGTTATTTTTTTTCTAAGATTTTCTATAGGTGACAGAGAGAGAGAGAGCGCACACAAGCAGGGGGAATGGCAGACAGAGGCAGAGGGAGCAGCAGACTCCCCCGCTGAGCAGGGAGCCCCACGTGGGACTCGATCTGGGATCATGACCGGAGCTGAGGGCAGACGCGTCACCGACTGAGCCACCCAGGGGGCCCAAGCCACGTTACTTTGCGTCTGCATTTCCTAGTGTCTGAAGTTGTCTGGGCCAAGCATGTGCCTGCAGCCTCCATGCCCCAGAGAGGAGTGGCTGTGGCCAGCCACCACCCTGTCAGCTACCACAGGAAGCCCCAAGCCAGACACATGTTGGCCATTGTACCCTGAGGCTCTCCGCGGTGGCCACAGGGTCCCCTGAGGAAGGATGTGGTGGGCCCGTTGGAAGCAGTGGTAGAGCCCACACGATCTTCTGACCCTGGCCAGACTGACTCCCAGAAAACTTCCAGCCCTGGCTGAGCCCGGGAACCAGGCGGTGACAGGAGGCCCCAGGGGGAGCTGGGAGAAGGAAGCGGAGGCCACAGCGTCGGGCAGAGGGTCTCTGGAAGGCCGGCGGAAAACAGCACCATCAACAAGAAGAAGCGCACCACACGCTTCACAATAACCGAGACAGGTCACGATGAGAAGTGCCAGGCCTGACCCAACACAGAATGGGAGCTTACGTGATAATTAGTACTCTGAAATTTCTAGAAGTTTCTAATTCTAAAACAGTATGGATGTGAAGAGTGTGAGCATCTCTGATCCTAAAATGTCAATCCTAAGATTTTTTTTTTTTAAAGATTTTATTTATTTATTTGAGAGAGAGAGAAAGCACATGAGAGGGGGGAGGGTCAGAGGGAGAAGCAGACTCCCTGCCGAGCAGGGAGCCCGATGCGGGACTCGATCCCGGGACTCCAGGATCATGACCTGAGCCGAAGGCAGTCGCTTAACCAACTGAGCCACCCAGGCGCCCAAGATTTTTTTTTTTTAAGATTTTATTTATTTGAGAGAGAGATCAGAGAGAGAAAGAGAGCACAAGCAGAGGGGAGGGACAGAGGGAGAAGCAGACTCCCCGCCAAGCAGGGAGCCCGATGTGGGACTCGATTCCAGGACCCTGGGATCGTGACCTGAGCCAAAGGCAGGCACTTAACCAATTGAGCCACCCAGGCACCCCCTATTTTTTTTTAAGTTGTGTTCATTTATTTTGACGTTAATACAACACACCCCACTCTTTTGGGTGTGCAGTCCTACACGTCTTGACAAAAACCCTGAGGTGCGTTACCACCACCACAAACGAGACCCAGAAGGGTCTTATCACCCCCAGAAAATGCCTCTCTGTAGTCAACCCCTCCCCCACCCATAACCCCTGGCAACCGCTGAGCTCTTCTCCATCACCAGAGTTTTGCCTTTTCCAGAATGTCCTATAAATGGAATCATGCAGTATGCAGCTTTCTGAGCCTGACTTCTCTCACTTAGCATAATACGTTGAAAATTCATCCTTGTCACTGTGTGTAGCAAAAGTCCCTCGGAACCGTAAGCAGTATTCCACTGTACAGATGTGGGGCAGACAGTTTCTTCGTTCATCAGTCTGAAGGGTATTCTAGTCATTTCCAGTTTGGGACGGTTACTAAAAAAACTGCTATCAGCCCACTTCAGTTGGTGGAGTGTGCAACTCTCCATCTTGGGGTTGTGAGTTCGAGCCCCACATTGAGTGGAGAGATCACTTAAAAATAAAATCTTTAGGGACGCCTGGGTGGCTCAGTTGGTTAAGCGTCTGCCTTTGGCTCAGGTCATGATCCCGGGGGCCTGGATTCAGTCCCACTCAGCAGCGAGTCTGCTTCTCCCTCTCCCTCTGTCCCCCACCATCATGAGTGCTCTCTCTCAAATTAATATATTCTTAAAAATAAATAAATAAATAATAAAGTAAAGATCCTAAATCAAGTTTGGGGGGAATGAGGGGAAATGGGTCAGGTCAGGTGAGGTGGGGTGGTACCTCTTTAGGTTATCCATCTTTACCCCCAACTTTAAGCCCCTCATTCCCCAAAGTGCAGTCCCCAGTCCCCAGCACCTGCATCTTCTGGGTGTGCAAGAAATGCAGAATCTCAGGCTCTGCCCTGTTTAATTATAACCTGTATTTTTTTCAAGATTTATTTATTTATTTGAGAGAGAGAGAGAGCAAGAGAGTGTGGGGAGGGGCATAAGGAGAGAATCTCAAGCAGACTCTGCACTTAGTGTGGAGCCTGATGTGGGGCTCGATCTCAAGACCCTGAGATCATGACCTGGCTGAAACCAAGTCGGATGCTCAACCGACTGAGCCAACCAGGTGCCCCTATAACCTGTATTTTAACAAGAGGCCCGGGTGCTTCCTGGACAACTTAAAGACTAAGAAGCGCTGCACTAGAGCATCCCTGGGAGAAACTGGTCAAGTTTCCTATTCTGCCCTCACTACGTAGATGCTGTCCTCCTGTGGAGATGTTTTAAGACTTGTCCTTTTTAGGGTCTGTCTCTATTGTGTTTGGTCATGGGTGCATACATTATTTAAGTTTATTTATTTATTTTTAAGTAATTGCTACACCCAGCATGGGGCTCGAACTCACAACCCCAAGATCAAGAGTCATATGCTCTTGTGATTAAGGCAGCCAGGCACCCCATGGGTGCATACATTTGCAATCAGCTGAAAATCTGAAATGAAGGCAGAGACGTTTTCTTGGAAATAAACAATTTATATTATTCTCTAATTTTAAACTATTTAACATGCACCTCCTCCCCCCACCAAGAAGAAGAGCAAGTATGAAAAAGGGGCGGGGGAAGCACATGAGAAGAATGAAAATAGAACAAGATATGGAGAGGATTCACAGTTTTGCTTGCATTTCCCCAAAAGCAGAGAAAATGACTGAGACAATGATTTGGGTGGCGGTAGTTTATGTGGGGGTTGATCTCAGGCAGCAGGAGTGAAGAAGTAGAGAATGGAGCCCAAGGGAAGGGGGAAAGGCCAAAAATGGGTGTGTTAATCACCTGGGTAACAGTTGTGGGCACCTGGGGCTCAATCCTGCCGGGGACCCTATGAGGAACCAGGCAGAACATGCCCCAGGATCTTCCCACGGAAAGACGGGGAGGCTGGGCATTGATGGGCATTGATGCCCTCACTCCTATCCTGCTTTGGGTATGGGTTGCCCCAACTTGGGAGATTGTAAACTCCTCCCACTTTGGGGGCCGCACCTGAAGTCCAAATAAATTAAGTGATGGCAGAAAAAGCTGAGCTGAGAGGCTGCCCATGTGCTGGAAACCGTCAGCCCCTCAGTGGGGAGAGGCATCCACACTGTCTATCACACATGGATGACCCTTGATGATTTGTTTTTTTTACCAGAAAATTGTATCTGCTCTGGTCAGAAGCAGTAATTCACTTTCTATCCACATTTTTTTTTTGACGAATAGAAATCAGTTTCTCTGCTTCACCTCTAAATCAATGCTCAAAGAAAAGTAAGGTAAAACTATCAAGTTTAGGGGCGCCTGGGTGGCTCAGTTGGTTAAGCGACTGCCTTTGGCTCAGGTCATGATCCTGGAGTCCCGGGATTGAGTCCCGCATCGAGCTCCCTGCTCGGCAGGGAGTCTGCTTCTCCCTCTGACCCTCCCCCTCTCATGCTCTCTCTCTCTCTCATTCTCTCTCTCAAATAAATAAATAAAATCTTTAAAAAAAAAAAACTATCAAGTTTAAAGACAACTGAGGGGCGCCTGGGTGGCTGGGTTGGTTAAGCAACTGCCTTTGGCTCAGGTCATGATCCTGGAGTCCCTGGATCGAGTCCCACATCGGGCTCCCTGCTCGGCAGGGAGCCTGCTTCTCCCTCTGACCCTCGCCCTCTCATGTGCTCTCTCTCTCTCTCATTCTCTCTGTCTCAAATAAATAAATAAAATCTTTTTAAAAATAAATAAATAAAAAATAATAAATAAATAAGTAAGGGGTGCCTGGGTGGCTCAGTCGGTTAAGCATCTGCCTTCGGCTCAGGTCATGATCCCAGGGTCCTGGGATCGAGCCCCGCGTCAGGCTCCCTGTTCCACGGGAAGCCTGCTTCTCCCTCTCCCACTCCCCCTGCTTGTGTTCCCTCTCTCACGGTGTCTCTCGCTGTCAAATAAATAAAATCTTAAAAAAAAACTGATAAGAAAGAGGTAAGTATTAGTATTGCCCCTCAGTAAGTTAGGGGGATCATTAAAGGGATTATATTGAAACTTTCAAGGGGCACCCGGCAGACTCAGTTGGTGGAGCATGCGACTCTTGATCTCGGGGTTATAGGTTCAAGCACCACGTTAGGGGTAGAGATTATTTATTAAAAAAATAAAATCTTAAAGAAACTTTCAACATAATAGCCAAAAAATAATTGATATACTCAATAGAAGATGAGAGTAAAAAATTAAAACAGTAAGAGAGCATGGTAACAACACCAAAAGCAAGGGTAACAAAAGCAAAAATCAACAAGGGGGACTACATCAAACTAAAGAGCTTCTGCACAGCAAAAGAAGCCATCAACAAAATGAAACAGCAACCTACTGAATGGGAGAAAAAAAATTGCAAATCATATATCTGATAAGAGGTTAATATCCAAAATATATAAAGAACTCCTATAACTCAATAGCAAAACACAAACCACGATTAAGGCATGAACAGAGGTGCGGCGCCTGGGTGGCTCAGTCGTTAAGCGTCTGCCTTCGGCTCAGGTCATTGATCTCAGGGTCCTGGGATCGAGCCCCACATCCGGCTCCCAGCTCATCGGGGAGCCTGCTTCTCCCTCTCCCACTCCCCCTGCTTGTGCTCCCTCTTTCTCTGTCAAATAAATAATTTTTTAAAAAATTTGCCGATTCTAGGCTGGTAGTAGAATGCATATACTGTGTATTATATAAAACCTCCCGGCGCGCCTGGGTGGCTCAGTCCTTAAGCGTCTGCCTTCAGCTCAGGTCATGATCCCAGGGTACTGGGATCGAGCCCCGCATCGGGCTCCCTGCTCTGCGGGAAGCCTGCTTCTCCATCTCCCACTCCCCCTGCTTGTGTTCCCTCTCTTGCTCTCTCTCTCTCTGTTGAAAGAAAGAAAAGAAAGAAAGAAAAAGAAATGACATGAACAGAGGATCTGAATAGACGTGTCTCCCGCCGATGGCCAGCAGGTAGATGAAAAAGATGCTCCATCATTAATTATTAGAGAAATGCAAGTTAGAACCACAATGAGATCCCACCTCACACGTGTTAGAATGGCTAATAACAAAAAGACAAGAGATAACAAGAGTCGGCCAGGATGTGGAGAAAAGGGAACCCTCGTGCTATGTTGGCAGGAATGTAAACTGGTGCAGCCCCTATGGAAAACTGCTATGGAGTGTAAATTTGGGGGATGCCTGGGTGGCGGCTCAGTCAGTTAAGCATCTGCCTTCGGCTCAGGTCATGATCCCGGGGTCCTGGGGTCGAGCCCCGCATCGGGCTCCCTGCTCAGCGGGAAGCCTCTGTCTCCCTCTCACACTCCCCCTGCTTGTGTTCCGTCTCTTGCTATGTCTCTGTCAAATAAATAAATAAAAATATATTTTTAAAAAAAGGTACAGACTTCCAGTGATAAAATATGTAAGTCACGTGGATTCAATGTACAGCACTGTGAGTAAAATAGATAATAGTATATTGTAGGGGCTCCTGGCTGGCTCAGTCTGTAGAGCATGTGACTCTGGATCTCACAGTTGTGAGTTCAAGTCCCACATAGGGTGCAGAGATTACTCAAAAATAAAATCTTAAAATAATAACAATAATAATAGATTGTAGATTTGAAAGCTGCTAATGGAGTAGATCGTAACAGTCCTCATCACCAGAAAAAAAATTTTTTTTGTTAACTACATATGGTGACAGATGTTAACTAGACTTATTGTGGTGATCATTTTGCAGTATATACAAGTATTGAATCATTATGTTGCACGGCTGAAACTAACATGTGATAGGTCAATTTTACCTCAATTTTTAAAAAAAGAATTCCAAATTCACAGAGGTCTTTTCAGGCAGATAAACCCTCGTATGTGACTGGACATGTTTCTGACCCCTCTGCATCCATCCCACATCTATAAAATGAGGGAAAGAAGATATAGTGCTAAGGGTTGCTGTCAGAATGTCATGATCAAATGCAAAACACCTTACCATAATAAAGCTTTTTATCTATTTTTTTTTTAAGATTTATTCATTTGAGTGGGGGCAGAGGGAGAGAATCTTCAAGCAGACTCCCTGCTGAGCACAGAGCCAGACACAGGGCTTGATCTCAGGACCCTCAGATCATGACCTGAGCTGAAACCAAGAGTCCAATGCTCAGCTGACTGCGCCACCCCCCAGGCGCCCCCCATAATAAAGCTTTTTAAATGACTGGTGCTTGTGGCAAATGAGCAAAAGCTGAGGATGCAAAACTGAAGTAAGACACCTAATTAGTCTCTTGCTAAATCCGTCAGAGTATATAACAGAGTTACTATGTGCTATTTTTTACAACTTTATTAAAGCATAATTGACGTGCTATAAACAGCAAGTCTCGAGAATGAAATATGTATGTGAAACCATCACGGCAATCAAATTAACAAACATTTCCATAATGCCCAGAAGGTTCTTTGCACTTCTCTGTAATCAATACCTCCCTCCACCCTCTGCCCTCTGCAAAGCACCGCTCTGCCTTCCAGCCCAAGAGATTAGTTTGCATTTCCTAGAATTTCATACGTGTGCATAGACTCACCCAGGAGGGGCTTCTTTCATTCCATATGATGCTCTGGACCTCCATCATGGTGCACATATAGACCATTCCCTTTTCTGGCAAAGCTGTAGCCCACTGTAGGGGTGGTAGGCAGAAGCATGGTCCCCTAGGGCTCCATGCCTGGGTAACTGACCCCCCAACAAAAGCCCTGGACACCAAGGCTCAGGGGAGCTCCCTGGTTGGCAATACACCATGTGTGTGTGGTCACATAAGGTTGCCAGGAAAAGTGAGCGCTGTCCCTAAGACTCCATGGGGACAGACAAGCAGAAGCTCGTGCCTGCTCTCTCCCGGATGCTGCCCTGCACACACTTCCCCTCGGCTGACTCAAACCTCTCTCCTTGCCCTATGATAAGTCATGAACCTGATGATAACAGCTCTTCTGGGTTCTGTAAGTCACCAAACACAAAAGGGACGAGCAACAGACGCTCCTGTCTGGGCGTCTCTCAGCTTCTGCGCCTCTCAGAATTCTCGCGGCTTCATCTCCATTTGGTTCCATCTTTAGCTTTCTTTCCACCCCCAAACCCGGATATCAACCACCTCCCAGGTCTTCCCCTGCCTCAGTTTCCTTGTCTCCCTCTTTCTCTCTCTTCTCCACTTCCCTGCAGTGCCTGTTCTCTTCCCAGCCACCGGACGCTCTCCATTTCTTGGTTTGGCTCTCTCCAGGGCTAATTGCACACCACCTTCTTGTCTCTTTCTCAGAATTCTTGGTCCCTCTCTTCTTAGTGAGTTCCCCTCCTCTAAGTCAGCCCGGATTTCGGCATTTCCTTCTCTCGATCCCTCTCTCCTTGGCCTCTGTCCACCATCCAGCCTCCTGTTCCTCCTCCATCCATGTCTTCCTCCGGCCCCTGACCGCTTCCCTGCTCTGTGCCACTGTCTCTTGGTGTCCTTGCCTCTCCCTTGGTTCCCCCCACCTCCCCGTCTCTCCTTCACCCAGCCTCTGGGGGAGCTCTCCATACCCTCTGACCCTCACTCTCTTGGTGTCTCTGAGCCACTTCCAGGGAACTCAGGCCCTTCCAGCCTCATGCCCTCACAACCACCATCTGTCCTTCTTCCTTCTATCTTGGCATGTTCAGCCCCCTCTCTGTCTTCACTCCATCTCTTCCTCTTTCCCTTCCCCCACCTCTCCACTTCTCAGTCTCCCATCTTCCTCCTGAGCTTCTGTTCTCTGTTTCTCTCCTCCTCAGCCCCTCACGGCTTCTCTTTTCCATATCCCAGCCCTTCCTCTGCTCCTCCCTTCAGTCTCCCTCCTTCTTAACCCCGCAAGCGTTCTGTCTCTCTCGGGACCTCTGTCCCTCCACTTCTCTCCATCCATCTCTCCATCTCTTTTTTTAAAAAAAATTTTATTTATTTATTTGCGAGAGAGAGTGCACACATGAGCAGGGGGAGCAGCAGAGGGAGAGGGAGAAGCAGACTCCCCGCTGAGCAGGGAACCTGATGCAGGGCTCGAACCCAGGACCCTGAGATTATGACCTGAGCTGAAATCAGGAGTCAGACGTTCAACCAACTGAGCCACCCAGGCGACCCTCCATCTCTCCATCTCTTAACATCTCTTTGCACCTCCATTTCTCTTTCACATTTGGCCTCAGAGACTCCCCACTACCCAAGGTGCCACAGCCCCCCCCATATCTCAGTGCCCACTCAGCTCCCACCACCCTCCCACCTTCACTGTCCCCTCTGTTGCCTCCCTGCCCCTGTCTGACAATTTGCCTTAAGAGCTGCCAGGATTACAGCTGCCCCTTCTCTCTTGACAGAAACCACATTTGATTCTTCTTATCACAATGAATGTGGACATCAGAACACGGTCAAACAGAAAGCAGATAGCAAGAGATGCACCCCTTGTTCCTTATCAAATTCAGTGCAAGCACTTCCTAAGTGTTCATCTACGTTGCTTCTGTCTTCTGCCAGGAAGGAAATTTTTCAGTCACCCACAGTCCCGAGCCCCAGGCGTCCTGGGCAGCAAGGACAGACGACAAAGAGATTTCTCAGGCTCTGTGCATTGCTCTGAAGACCTTTACTGTCGCACTAAGAGGAGCTATGAAGAGCCCACAGTGTATCAGTTAACTATTGTTGTTATACACTGAATATTTGTGTCCCCCCAAAATTCGTATGGTAAAACCTTATACTCCAGTGTGACAGAATTAGGAAGCAGGGACTTGGGGTGATTAGATCATGAGAGTTGAACCCTCATGAATGGGATCAGTGCCTTTATTTTTTTTAAGATTCTATTTATTATTTGAAGATTTAATTTATTTGAGAGAGAGTGTGTGCACGGGCAAGGGGAGGAGCAGAGGGAGAGGGAGAGAATCCTCAAGCACACTCCCCGCTGAGAGCAGATTCCAATGCAGGGCTCCATCCCACGACCCTGAGATCATGACCTGAGCCAAAACAAAGAGTCAGACCTCAACCAACTAAACCACCGAGGTGCCCCCAAATTTTATTTTTTAGGTCATCCTCTCACCCAACATGGGGCTCGAACTCACAACCCTAAGATCAGGAGCTGCGTGCTCCACTGACTGAGCCAGTCAGGAGCCCCAGGGTCAGCGCCCTTACACACAGGACCTCGGGGGCTCTCACTCTTTCTGCCATGTGAGGACACCATGAGAAGTGGCCATCTGCAAACCAGGACGCGGGAATCTGCTGGCATCTTGTCCATGGACTTCTAGCCTCCAGAGCCATGAGAATAAATATTTGTTGTTTTAGCGGCTCAGTCTTTGGTAATTTGTTATAGCAGCCCTAATGGACTAAGAGAGCTATGTAATAAATATCCCCAAATATTAATGGCTTAAAAGAATACCTTTGGGGGCGCCTGGGTGGCTCAGTTAGTTAAGCGACTGCCTTCGGCTCAGGTCATGATCCTGGAGTCCCGGGATCGAGTCCCGCATCGGGCTCCCTGCTCGGCAGGGAGTGTGCTTCTCCCTCTGACCCTCCCCCCTCTCATGTGCTCTCTCTCATTCTCTCTCTCAAATAAATAAAAAATCTTTAAAAAAAAAAAAAAAAAAAGAATACCTTTGTTGGGGCACCTGGGTGGCTCAGTCGTTAAGCGTCTGCCTTCAGCTCAGGTCATGGTCCCGGGGTCCTGGGATCGAGCCCCACATAGGGCTCCCTGCTCCGCGGGAAGCCTGCTTCTCCCTCCCCCACTCCCCCCCTGCTTGTGTTCCCTCTCTCGCTGTGTCTCTCTCTCTGTCAAATAAATAAATAAAAATCTTTAAAAAAAAAAAGAAAGAATACCTTTGTTGTTGCTCACAGGTCTGTGGGTCAGCTGGATGGGTCTTTTGGTCTTGGATGAGCTCATCCATACATACACCATCAGCTGTGGTTGGGCAGGTGGCTCTGTCTCCAGGAGTTGGCGGGATATCAGCTGGGTAACTTAGATCTCCTTGGTGCAGTCTCTCATCCTCCAGCAGATAAACCTAAGCTGATTTCCATGACAGTGGACACTTTCTAAGAGAACAAACAGAAGACACAGACTCTTGAGACCTAGACTCGAGACTGACACCACATCCCTTCCGTCACATTCTATTGGTCAAGTCCAGCCCAAATTCAAGGGTTGGGGAAACTGACTTCCAAAATTGAGAGGAGCAACTACAAAATCACAGTGCAAAGGGCATATGTGGGGGGGGGGCTGGCCAATTTTTTTTGTTTTACTTGTGACACTGATGGACAACTGTGACCCTATCCTTTTACATAAATCTAAGGAGAAAGCAAGCCCAGGGCACCTGGGTGGCTCAGTCGGTTAAGCGTCTGCCTTCAGCTCAGGTCATGATCCCGGGGTCCTGGGATCGAGCCCTGTGTTGGGCTCCCTGCTCAGTGGGGAGTCTGCTTCTCCCTCTCCCATTGCAGCTCCCCTTGCTTACGCACTCTCTCTCTAATGCTCTCTGTCTCTCGAATAAACAAATAAAATCTTTTTTATTTTTTTAAAAGATTTTTTTATTTATTTGACAGAGAGAGACACAGCGAGAGAGGGAACACAAGCAGGGGGAGTGGAGAGGGAGAAGCAGGCCTTCCAAGCACAATCAGCTGACCCTCAGCCAACCCCCAGATGCATGTGCTAAATAAACATCAGTATGTGTACAGGTTTTCGTTCTTAATCACCTGATGAGGGAACGGATACATTACCAGCAGTGTATCCACGGACTCACCATCATTACATAGTTGCAGCATGACTATGTGACCACCAGATTATTTTATTTATGATCCTTAGGCCACATAGCAAGACAGTGCTGGGAACGTTGTAAGAAATTGTACCCAGCACCAGATGTTAAATGTACATGACCTGGATGACTAAAGGCAGTTTTACAACCACATAAGTTTCAGGACGTTGTGGTTGGAGGGTTAACAGGCTTGAAAAGCCCATGCTCGGGACTTCCCATGACTTGGCTGGACTTCACCCAGATTTTTCCAGAGGCTAGACGCCTGATAACATTGCAATACATCGAATGCAGAACAGCTTTGAGAATCCACTTGTCTTCTCTTGAGCTAGACATTAAATATTCTCAAAAATGTGAAACAAGGCCACTCTTCTCATTAAATTTTTTATTTTGGAAAACACAGCACTTTTTTTTTTAGATTTTATTTATTTATTTGACAGAGAGAAAGCACAAGCAGGGGGAGCGACAGGCAGAGAGAGAAGAAGAAGCAGGCTCCCCACAGAGCAGGGAGCCCAATGCGGGGCTCAATCCCCGGATCATGACCTGAGCTGAAGGCAGACACTTAACCAACTGAGCCACCCAGGTGCCCCAACATAGACTTTTCATTTAAAATGTTATTTACGTTAAAATGCAAGGAGTTTCCAAATGCCCATCGACAGATGAGTGGATTGGGGCACCTGGGTGGCTCAGTCAGTTAAGTGTCTGAGTCTTGATTTTGGCTCAGGGTCATGATCTTGAGGTCATGGGATCAAGCTCCGCGTCAGGCTCCATGCTGGGCGTGGAGTCTGCTTAGATTCTCTCTCTCCCTCTCCCCCCACCTTGCTCATGCTCTCTCTCAAAAACAAAACAAAAACCAAAACAAAACAAAAACAGATGAATATGGATAAGCCAAATGTGATAGATACATTCAATGGAATATTACTTGGCCTTAGAAAAGGAGGAAATTCTGACACATGATACAGCATGGATGAAACTCGACCACATGATGTTAAGTGGAACAAGACAGATACAAAAGGACAAATATTGGAAGATTCCGCTTACAGGAGGCACAAGAAACAGGGAAATTCTCAGAGGCAGAAAGTAGACTAGAGGTTACCTAGGGTTGAGGAAGGTGGGGGGGTGGGAATGGGGAGTATTGTTCGATAGGTACAGAGTTTCAGTTTGGGAAGATGGAAACATTCTGGAAAGGAATGGTAGTGATGCCTGCACAGCAAAGGAAATGTTCTTCATACCATTAACTGTACCCCTAAAATGTTTAAAATGGTAAATTTTATGTTACGTACATTTTACCACAATAAAATATTTACCAAAAATGCAATGAATTTATTATGGTTATTTTTAAATTACTCCATAAATAAATTTTTGAACTTCTCAGGGTTTTTTTTTTAAGATTTTATTTTTATGTAATCTCCATACCCAGCATGGGGCTCGAACCCACAACCCTGAGATCATGAGCCGCTGGCTCCACCGACTGAGCCAGCTAGGCACCCTTTGAACTTCTCAGTTTTAATTTAATACTAAATATTAATAGATACAACTCAAATACACAAGAGCTCTTTGGTGTCCTCAAATAATTTTTAAGGATGTAAAAAAAAATCCCGAGAGCAACAAATTTGAGAACCTCTGCTCTATGAGCAGCTGAGCTGAGCCTGAGCTAACTGTCCCTGACACATCTCTGCAAGAATCAACAATTTCCGGATTAAATGGCAAAAAATGTAGTTTTACATTTCTTCTGGCCAAAGCAGACAGGCGACCTCTAGTGGAAATACAAGGTATCGCTTGACGGCGCAAAATTTCTCGGTAATTTTGTAGAGAACACAACTAGACGCTCACACACACAGACATGATCAAACACGCCTTCACACACACAAACTCTTGCACAGACCCACATATGCACACACACACATGCACAGCAATACTGTAACACATACAAAGAGACACAGCCTCACATGGACACATACTCGGTCACATACGCATACACACACGACCCTAAAAATAGCATATGATTAACAAAAGGGACTTGGTAAATTACCCCCATTCTCTATTTTTTTATTGTAATGGAAAATGAGTTTCTTCCCCAAACCATTAAATAAATGTTGAACAAGTAATTAAGATGAATCTAGGTTTGGCAGCATGCCCAATTAGAGGTCCACAATCCCTTAGCTGAAAATCCGTGGGGACAGATGCATTTCAGAACTCAGAATTGTTCCAATTTTAGAAAGGTAATTCTGAGCTAATGCTATATTTTACGTAACACTCCCAGGGGCCTGAGACAGCCCCCTCACCATCAGACATGTTAATATATTTGCAGCAAAACGCGTGTGAAAATTCACACTAAAAGGAGATAAATAAAGAGTGTAAATAACTCATATCATTTGATCTGCCACCATGTGACACTGGGCCAAAATTACCCCCCAAAGAAATATTTTTCGGTTGTCACAGCTTTTTCGAATTCGGAATTGTGGATAAGAGACAAGGGATCCCAGTAGCAGGCCCCTCGCACATGCACGCACTTATATTCCTGCTCTGATTGTGAACCTCGGATTCCAGGCCAGGGGTAGGCGTCGGGGAGGACAGCGACTCTTCGGCGCCCCCTCCTGGCAGTCCCGCTCCTCGAAGCTCAGATGCAGACGCGATGTCTACAGGCTTGGGCCTGATCCAGCGATGGGTCCTGATTGGGCTAAACCTTCCGAGTAATCCCGCCTCCACTTGCCAGTGAGTGGTTGAACCCAAGCCTTAACCAACAGCACCTGACGGCGCCAGGCCCAGGCATTGGTTCCAGGCTTGTCATGTGACCTGCACTGACCCAATCAAGTTGAAGGAAAGCCCTTCAGCACACCAATACGGGCCAGGCCTCCCTCCCTCCGAGGGATGGGAATGAGTTCACAGGTGCCTCCATCTGTAGGCACCCTGCGAAGCCGCTTGGGGAGCAGGCTGACCCTATGCACAGAAAGAACTAGAAACAGTTGGCCGAGGGCCCAGCTGTCCGACAGCTCCACCGCATTGGTGCCAAGGCCGTGCTTCCCTGGGGCTCCTCCCAACGACGACAGCGGGTACTAGAGCCAGCCCATTACCACGCCACCCAGGACTCCTCTGATGGGCAGCCTTTGTTTAAGGACCCCCGGAAACACACCTCCGCCCCCCCCCCCCGACTTCCTGAAGGCTGTGTTACAGCCTGAGGCCCTCTGGCCCAGTCCCTCCTTCCCTCCCTCCTTTCATGACAACCAGATGGATGGAGGTGGTTATGGTTGCACACCACCATACTTAATGCCCTGTACTGTACACTTTAAAGTGGTTTAAATGGTAACGTTTATGCTACGTGTATTTACACACACACACACACACACAGAGATTTGGACCACCCGCTTTTCCTCCAGGCCACCATCTTGTTCTAGCCACCACTGTCCCTCACCTGAACGATGGCAGTGGCCTCCTCCCTGGGCTCCCGGCTTCCGCCCTTGCCCCGTACCGTTCCTTCCCACCCCGCAATGAGAGAGTCCTGTTGACACCTAGGTTGGCTCTGTCCCTCCTCAGCTCACAAACCTCCCATTGCTTCAGCTCTCTCCAAGCAAAAGCCAAAGTCCTCAGGGCAGCCCATGAGGCTCTGCACCATCTGCCCCCTTTCTCTCCCTTGGCTCACCTCCTCCTGCTCTTCCCATCACTCATTCTGCTCACTCACTGGTCTCTTGGTGGTTCCTTGGACAAGCCAAGCACCTGAGCCTCGGGGCCACTGCCCTTGCTGTTCCCACTTCTTGGCACATGCTTCCCTCAGAGATCGGCATGCCCTGCCCTCGCTTCTGCCCAGTGATCAACAACTCCATCCCTCCCCGTCACCTTGACCCTGATTATTTTCCTCCTTGGTGCTTCTTATGACTGGTCATAACATATATCTACATTACTAATCCTATCTTTTGTCTGTCTCGCCAGTAATATGTCAGCTCCCTCGAGAGCAGGACGTTTTGCCTGTTTTGTTCACGGCTGTGACCACGGTGCCTAAAATAAGGCCTGGCACATCGTAAAGGCTCAGTAAATGTTTGCTAAGTGCAAAATTAAGAGACAGCGGCCAAAAGAGAGACTGAGAGATCAGGAAGAGAGACCAACACAAGGAAGGCGATAGGGCAGAAGGGGCTAAACCAGAGAAGAAATGGGAAAGTAGGTGGGGCGGGGGGAGAGAGGGGAAGAGCAAGGTGGGGGTGTTGGGGCAAGATGGGGGAAGGAGAAGAAATGGAAAGAGAGCCAGCCACGTTGGAGGGCGACAGAGGTGGGAGAGTGAGTCAGAGAGCCGAGTGAGGGACAGAGGCAGAGACTACACTGAGAGAGGTCAGGGAGAGACAGAGAGGCAGAGACAGAACGAGAGGAGGGGGAGAGAGGAGGGTGGAGAGAGAGACACAGAGACAGGAAGAGAAACTGAGGGCCGGGGAGAAATGGAGCTGGGGAGAAGAGGGCGGGAAGCTAGAAAGAGAGCCCAGGGGAACAGAGATGCAGCAGTCCCCACCTCCAACTCACCACTTGCCGGTCTCCAGAAGCTCTGCGCTGACTTGATATCCCTTGGGATGCAGGCTGTGGTTTTTGAATCCCTGAGGGACAGAGGTGGGTAGAGAGAAAGAACATGTGATGCTGTTCAAAAAGCTGCAGATCACTAGCTTATTTATTCCTCACAGAAACTCTCAGTACTATTACCATCTTGGTTTTACAGGACCAGAAAGGTTGAGGAACCTGCCCAAGGTCACACAGCTAGTGAGAGGAAAAGTGGGAATTTGAACCTGGGCATTTGACCCCAAAGTCAGTGCCCTTCAACCATCACCTGTGCTCACTACAAAGGGGTGCTGGCTTCCAGGGTTGCCCTTCGGTCTGGAGAACCCCCTCTGTGAAGTGGTGCCAGAAGGGTAGAAGGGGGGGAGGGAGGTAACCAGAATGACTGACATTCTCAGCCCGGTCCTCATCCACAGATGTCCCAGCCTGAGGGAGGAGGCTCAGCTTCACTCTTTCTGGGAAAGCCTCCAGTTCAAGGGAGGAGGCTGGACAGGAAAACCACTTCCTGCCTATAGGGTCCGATGCCCTGCCCGGAGCCAGGCCTCAGTCTTCTTGGTGGGAAGATAGATTCAACTACCTTTGACTCTTTCAACAGGACCCAAGTTTCTCTGCCTCCTGCTACCAGGAGCATTGCAGACCAGAGAGGTTATACTTATCTTCAAAGGCAGCGCAGTGCTGATAACTTCCTCTGTGATTTCCAGGGAGGCAGAGAAGCTCCCCACCACCCCTGTTCACCCTGGTCTCTCAGACCCCAGGAAAAAGGCCTTATTCCCTCCCGGCAGCATCCTGACATCTCAGGGTGACTTAGCTTCTGTCCCTGACACTGTAATCATACTAGTCACAATCCCCCAAAGCCCCAATTAATCATCCCACCTCTCCCGTCTAATCTTGGGCTGTAACTGGAGGGCAGACCCCCTGCTTCTCTCCAGACACACTTGTCTTCTGCCTCAGGGATACAGAAAGCTGAAAAGTCCTTCACGCTGTCTGACCTTCAACTGCCCTGTTGCAGATAAGCCTCCTCTCCCAGCCCCCAAAACTACATGATGGCGATGGGAGAAGGACCCCCTAACACACCCCTCACCCCCACCCAGGTCAGGGGAGAATCCACCCAGCCCACCCAGGGCAAGAGAGACAAAGATCAGACGCCAGGAAGGCCTTCCCCTCACAAACTTGAAAGGGGAGACATCTTGCAAACAATACAACAAACACAGCACCAGGCAGTTGGGGCTGGAGTTTATTGCAGGGGGACATATGGACACGGAGATTCAGAGAAGAGGACGGTGGGCTGTGGGCTCTGTGCTCAGACTCCTACGGAGAGTGTCAGGAGGCAGAGGTCAGGACCGGGTCGGCCAGATGGTGGAGGACCCCGGCCTGACGGCAGAGGAGCGAGGCCCTGGGCCAGCTCCCCTTGCCCCCCCACCCATTCTTCTGGATGACGACTCCGGAGACGCTAGGCGATGTCATGAAGAGGGAGTCCGGGCCCAACCGGGTAACGGAGCATCCGCCGTGGGGGCGCGGGCTCTTGAGGGCCGGCGATCCAGCTTGGGTGGAAGGGAGGGTTACCCGGGTCCTCGCCCCCCCGCGGCCTCCGGCGTCTCTCTGGGTGTCTGGCGGTTCGGGCGGCTGCTGGGGTCGCTGTGGCGGCGGCGGCGGCTGCGCGGCAGCTCGAGCTGGGGTCGCGGCCCGCCGGGGGCTCCCAGGAGGCAGGAGACCGAGGCAGCGGCGGGCGCCGGGGCAGGCGGCGCGCCCGGACGGGCGGCGCACGGAGGGGACGGCGCGCTGGGCGGCGGGCCGGCGGGGCCCGCGGGGGGCCGCGTGGGAACCCAGATGAGCCCGTAGTAGACGGCGAGCAGCACGGCGGCCAACGAGACGCAGAGGAAGTAGGCGCAGACCGGGGCGAGGCGCAGCCAACGGCCCCGCGGGCCTTCGCTCAGCCCGGCGCCCCCCGGGCTCTCGCCGCCGCCGCCCACGCAGCTCGTGCCCCGCATCCCCGCAGCCCACTGGGCCCAGCACAGCGGCCCGTGCAGGCCCCGCCCCCGCGCCCTGGGCCCGCCCCCTGACCCACCCCCTCGGAGGACCGCCTCCGCGCTCTAAAGCTCCCTCGTCCAACCCCGCCCCCGCCAGCATGGTCACGCCCCCGAACGGGCGGGCCTCCTCCGGGCTCTGGGCCTGCCCCCTCCCCTGTCTCCAGCCAACCATTATCAAGCTATGGCTTAACTAGTATTTCGACCCCGCCCCAGGCCTGCAAAGATAGCTCTCTGCTCTTTCGACTACTGCCGGCCTTCGGGGTGATGCCCACGCCTCTTACCTGCGAGCCCGCCCAGCGCCTAGCCCCGCCCTCCCCTTTCTGGCCTCCTCCCCCAAGCCCTAACCGCGTCCCCTTCGCGACTCACACTTCTCCCAGGCATCTAGCCCCGCCTCCGAGCCCCCCCCGCCGCGCGAGGCTTGGGCCTCACAGACCCCCCCACACACACACTCCTTAGCCGCAGGCCCGCTCCGCTTCTAACGTGCCTCTGAATCAGACTCGACTCTTAGCATTCGAAGCCACCCTCTTCACTCCCTGGATTCACGCTCTCTAGTCCAGGCTCCACCCCTTTCCTCCGCCTCACTCCACTAGTTCTAGCACTGTACTGAACACGCCCTCGACCGAGGGCTGCACCCCACACCCGCATTAGGAACTCCCATCTAAACCGGCTCACGCGGCCCGATCCGACATCTAAGGCCGCCCTGTGTTCTAACTCCATCCACCAGAATTCTGGCCCCGCCCAGGCATCCTAACCACGCCCCTGGCGGGACCTCCTCGCTACTCAGTGTACTGAGGTCTAAACACTCCCCGAAGCCCCACCTCTGCCCACAACCCAATCACGCCCCTTCCCCAACTCCTCCCCACCACCCTCAATTTCTCCCTCTCCCTAAAGCCATGGGATCCAGAGCGGTCTCCGGGGAGGAGAGAGCGCAGCCTGGGAATCCAGACTAACCCCCTCCTGCCGCCCCCACCCCATCAAGGCGGGGAAGCTTCAGTCCCCTCCCAGCAGCGTCTTCAGGAATTCGGGGAGGCCTGCGGGGAGGGGGGGAGGGAAGACGTATCAGGGGAGTGGAGGAAGGAAGATCCCTTCCTCCCGCCTCTTCCGCCACGGAAAAGCCAGCCAAGCACAGCAACCCAGCCGGCCCTGCCAGAAATACAGTTCAAAGGTTAGCGGAAGCACTGCGTTTAATAAGAGACGGGGCCGGTGGCCGAGTAATTCCGAGTCCTGTGGAAGAGTCACCGGCTATCTGCCAGGCCCCAGATGTAAACTCCAGGAGGCGGCAATCTAGGCCTGGGGGCCGGCACCTAGCCCCCCATGGCTTCCATTAGGTGGGTAACTCGGGGGCGTCTCAGCCCTCCCGGTGCCACGGCGCCCCCGAAGCGGGAGACTGGACTATTGCCCTGGCCCCACCCCGTTCACTGTCCCTGGCTCCGCCCCCCTTACATTTAACCCTCTCCTGGCGGGAGTGTGACGGAAGCAGAGGACAGAGGAGCAAGGCGGCAGGAGGTTAGTGCAGAGAGCGGAGGCCACAGTCGGCGGGCGCGGTCAGCGGGCGGCCCCCGGTGGCGGGGCGGCCGCCACCACCTTGCAGAAACGCACCCTCTGGAAGTCGGTGATCTCCGCGGTCTCCTGGCCCTCGGTACCCGCCTCTGGGGAGAGAAGGGGCAGTCAGCGGAGGGAACAGTCTCCCCCTGCCCCCTCCCCCCCGTCCAGTTCCGTCTCTGATCCCAACTGAGCCCGGCTGCAGTCCCCCTGCGCTAGGTGGTTTATGGGCCTCAGACTCCTTTAATCTTCGCAGGGGACCCACAAGCTGCACGCACCCCAACAGAACCCTGTTTACAATCGAGGAAATCATCTGGGATAGCGAGATCACCCTAAACTCTGTCCTCTCGCCCCCCAGCCGCCCCCCTCAGGCTCCCACGGGCATAAACTAACTCCCATTCGCCCCCCGCCATCGGATCTGTCCCTCTCTGCCCTTGCCCACGAGAGTGCTGACCAGATCTTCCTTGGCTCTGCCCCAAACGCTAACCCCGCTCTTGGGGAGGTCCCTGGTTCGCAACCTGGCTTGCGCTGATGGAGCTGAAGACGGGGTTGGGCCCAGCATTCTAATGGGGCCTGCATTTCTATTCTAATTTACCCTACTTGGTTAGACCTCAAAACTCCAATCCTGCCCACAGCCAAATCCATGATTCTACCCCTCCCCCATTCTTACTTTTGACCTATTTAAATTCCTAATCCTGCCCTCAGCCCCGCCCCTTGAACCTAGCCCCACCCCGTTATTTTTAGATTACATCCCCAAACGCCTGGGGTCCGCCTCCAAATCCCAATCCCATCTTGGCTCCACCTCCTCACGGCCCCCCTTTCCCCCTCCACTCAATTCCCTAGCGCCCCAGAGATTCTCCACTTAGCTCCACCCCCTTGACCTTGGCTCCTCTCACAGTATCCTAGCACTGTAGCCTCACCCCCAGGTCCACTGCTACCCCACACACCCAGCTCCACTCTATCCTACTCTCCCCAAACCCTCCCCTCAGCCCCGGAGGGAGAAAAAGAGGAAGGAAGAAGGCCATCTCGGGCCCCATCCACTCCCCCACCTGGAGCTGCCTCAGACCTTTCCTCTTCAGCTTTCTGGGTTCCTGGGAGGCTGGACCCACTCTCAAGGGAGGCAGGGGCTGGCTGGTCACCTCCTGAGGAAGGGGGAGGCCCAGTCAAGCCCCTACCCCTCCAAATTTCCCCCCACCCTGAGAGAGAAGGCCCTGGGGAAGTGAGGGGTGTTCAAGGACACACTTGGGGAATATCATTTGAGGACGTGAACTCTTTATTGGGGAGGGGGCTCTGTGGCCCAGAGCAGGGGCAGGATGGGGGTGGGGGGGGCATTCCAAAGACAGACATGGACTGTCCTCCCTAGCCACCAGGGCGGTGGGGCACACACGGTCCCGGGGCCCAGCCCCTGACGGTCCCCCCTGCGAGTGTACCCCTCAAGCGCACACACACAAGCAGCCAGCTTCATGCATTTCCAAAAGGCCAGGCCTCACCCGGAGACAGGGCATTGGCCGGGTGGGCATCCCGGGGAGAATTCAGCTCCATCTCTTCACCCCAGTCAGACACGGGTTGGTGGTCTCCAGGGGGTGAAAAGGGGCTAGAAGGCGTGGCAGGGGCCTGGGGCAGTGGCGGGGGCTCCTCTGGCCTCGACCGCTCTCTGTCAGCCTGCTCACCGGTGGGACTTCCGGTGCGGCTTCGGGGAGGGCTTCCGGTGGGCTCAGCCTCTTGGGGTTCATGGCCTTGGGCTGGTTCTTCTTCCGCCTCATCAGCCTCTTCTTCTTCCTCGACCTCCTCTTCCTCCTCCTCACTCACATCTTCCCACTCCTCATCCTCCCCCTCATCCTCCTCCCTCACGTCCTCCTCCCCCTCATCCTCAGGGGGCCGGTGGGCAGGAGGAGCTGGGGTCTCGGGTGGCTGTGGGGAACATAAGGCAGGTTGGGGCGAGGGGGTGGGCCCTGAGCACCCCACGCCCCCTGCCCAGAGAGGACAGCCCGCCTTACCTGCGAGGGCGTCTCCTCAGGTGGAGCGGGCTGTGGGGCCTCAGGGGCTGGGGACACTGTGTCCTCAGTCTCCCAGCGGTCATCATGGTCACTGGAGGGGACAGAGGGAAGGGGTGAGGCCCGGGTGGATGAGAAGAAGGGGCCTCCCACCTCCAGGTCCTCCCCCAGAGAAAAGCTGCAAAATTCAACTCAGGGCAAGAGGGGCTGCAGCTTTCCAGGTGAGGGTCCACATGTTGGAGCTCTGAGGAGGGAATGGTGGGTGTGTGTCCCCAGGTGCCAGGGACAGACAGACGGAGGGGCGCCAGGTGGCAGAAAAGGAGTGAAAGGAGATGAAGGGAGAGATGGAGGTAAAGCATTTACCTAGAGAGCTAGGCCCCAACTCCCCCCAAACAAGAGCCTGACCCACAGAGAGACAGTAGCCAAGAACTGACGGACGAGACAGCACAGACATGCCCCCGCGGAGTCAGAACAACCAGGGATAGAGCCAAACAGCCCTGCTGGGGGCACGGGGGTGTGCACACACCAAGGGTCGGGGCGCCCCCACCTGTAGGCACGAGGGGCTGCCTTGGTCTGGGGTCGGCTACTCTTCCTCCTCCTGCGGCTGACCTCAGCTTTGTGCTGGGACAGGAACTCCCTGAAAGTGGGGGGCTTGGGGGGCCGAGTCCAGGCCTGGTCATCTGCAAGAGAACCCAGGAGGAGTGGGGGATGGAGGGCATGACACAAAGTTAACCCCCATGCCTGGCCCTGCCAGCTGCCGTTCCCGCCCCCCGCCCCCACCGAGAACGCCCACTCACCATAGCGGTGGGATGGTTCAAGGGCAGCAGCTGGCCCATCCTTGAACCTGGGGAAAAGAGAAAGGGGGTGAGCACGCAGCTGGGGGAACAGTGGGGGCAAGAGGGGTGGGGAGAGATAAGGGAGAGATGGGGGCCAGGGTCAAAATCAAGATCACAGAAGGAGAGACAGTCAAACAGAGGGGGTCCCTGATTAGAAGGCAGACAGGATCAGGTGATGGACAAGAGGCAAACATGACATGGTAGTGACAAATACAGAAAGAAAAAACTCAGTATTTGACACCCCAAAACAAAAATTTAGAACGTACATGATCCCCAGCCTCCAGTCTAGCCACAATTCCTATCACTGTCCCCCATCTCCTCGGCTAAGCAGAGTCACCTAGCACACAGAACTCCTGCCTCAGGGCCTTTGCACCTGCTGCTCTTGGGACACTTCCCCAGACCTTTCAGTGGCCTGCACCCTCACCTCCTCCAGGCCTCAGCTCAGACCCTCCTAAACACCTGTCTAAAATAATCACATATTGGGGCGCCTGGGTGGCTCAGTTGGTTAAGCAACTGCCTTCGGCTCAGGTCATGATCCTGGAGTCCCGGGATCGAGTCCCGCATCGGGCTCCCTGCTCGGCAGGGAGTCTGCTTCTCCTTCTGACCCTCCTCCCTCTCATGCTCTCTGTCTCTCATTCTGTCGGTCTCAAATAAATAAATAAAATCTTTAAAATAATAATAATAATAAATAAAATAAAATAAAATAATCACATATTGGGGCGCCTGGGTGGCTCAGTCATTAAGCATCTGCCTTCGGCTCAGGTCATGATCCCAGGGTCCTGGGATCGAGCCCTGCATCAGGGGAAGCCTGCTTCTCCCTCTCCCACTCCCCCTACTTGTGTTCTCTCTCTCGCTGTCTCTGTCAAATAAATAAATAAAATATTTTTAAAAAATAAAGTCATCACATATTATATATATCACCAAAATCTAAAACAAAAGCCTCCATCCCTCTCCATACTCTTCTCTGTTCTTCGTGACCTGCCACTGGATCTAGTCAGTGTCCACCTTTCCAACTCGAGTCTGGGTTCCCTGAAGGCAGAAGTGTTTTGTTCATTACTGTATCCCCATCACCTTTCATGACACAGAGGAGAGACTCAATAAATATTTCCTGACAGGGGTGCCTGGGTGGCTCAATCGGTTAAGGGTCTTGCCTTTGGCTCAGGTCATGATCCCAGGGTCCCAGGATCAAGTCCTGCATCTGGCTCCCTGCTCAGCACGGAGCCTGCTTCTTCCTCTCCCTCTGCCCCTCCCTCTCATAAATAAAACCTTTTTTTTTTTTTTAAGATTTTATTTATTTGACAGATAGCAACAGCAGGAACACAAGCAAGGGAAGTGGGAGAGGGAGAAGCAGGCTCCCCACTGAGCAGGGAGCCTGATGCGGGGCTCAACCCCAGCACCCTGGGATCATGACATGAGCCAAAGGCAGATGCTTAACAACTGAGCCACCCAGGCGCCCCTCAAATAAATAAAATCTTAAAGATTTGCTGACGAAATCAAAGCACATGTGCATTAATGAGACTTGCTGCAGGCTGCCTTTGGGACACAAGAGGACACCATTACTTACTCTCATTCTTAACCCTGAGAACGTCTCCCTAAAAGCCTTAAAAGGATCAGCTACAGTATCTGTGCAAAGTATTTTTCGCACTTGCACAAGCTTGGCTCACAATCCACAATGAATGCTCTGACCACTGGGCGCACAGACAACAGCCTCTCTCTCCAGCCAGCGCCAATAATAAACGTGACTGGCATGAAAACTTCCAAAGCAGCAAAGGGTGCAGGATGCCATAAAAACAACAACGGTACGGGCGCCCAGGTGGCTCAGTCGGTTGGGCATCGCTCCGGTCATGAACTTGGGGTCGTGGGATCGAGCCCCGAGTGGGGCTCTGCACTCCGCAGGGAGTCTGCTTGAGGATTCTCTCTCCCTCTCTCCCTTTGCCCCTCCCCCAGCTTACACTCTCACTCTAAAAAAAAATAATAAAATAAATGACTACAGCTGCAGATCTTAAGAGTGCTGTTGGCTGGCTCTCTGGTATGGAAGTTGGCCTTCCTGTCAATGACACAAGGGTAGAGCTTCCGTTTAAGTTGGACTAACTGGATGTTTCCTGGGACCCGAAAGGGGACCCAGTCAGATAAGGGTAAAAGTACCACCCGGATAAGGAGTTTGGGTTGGGGGCAGGGGTGCAGTTTGAAGGTCTAATCACCGTCACCCCTTCCTCACGCCTTCTCTAATTAGAATTTCCATCCATGCCCTTAGCTGGGGCGCCACCAGAGTACCCCTGATGAGAGCAGCTTAGTCTCCCGCCAGGTCTGTCGCCAACAGAACAGACAGCGTGTCCGCCTGCCTCCTGCCCATCCCCGATGCCGGAACGGGCACTCCTCCAGAGAGCGGCCTCCGCCTGAACCCCAGAATGAACCCCCGGGGAGCAGAACTGAGTTCTGCCTGCATGGGGAGCCAAGCCCAGCTGGACCCACAGCTTAGAGCCCAGCCTGAATCAGCCAAATCCGGCTGACCTGTGAACACGAGACAGAAATGGTTCTGATGGTTCTGAAAAGGAAAAAAGAAAGAAAAGAAATGGTTTTATCTGCCAGGGAGTTGGTGGTTCTGACGCAGCACGGCAACTGCTCCCTGATACACTAGGTGGGACGTCAGAGAGAGACAGAGGAGTAAGTCGGGGTCAAGGTCAAGGAACCAAACGGGCAAGCAGAGGGACACTCACATGCCATCAGTCTTCTCAGCATCCCACTCCCGCCGCCACTGGCCAGTGGGCTTGCGGTGTCTCTGCAGCCGCTCCTGGTCGATCTTCTCCCTCTCCTGCTTCCAGCGCAGATACTCCGACCGCTCGCGGCCCGTCATGGACAGCGTCATGTCACCAGCGCCACCCAGGCCGGCCCGGCGGCCCTGCCCACACACAGACAGGCAGTCAGGGCCCTGTTCCCCGAGCCGGCCCACGCTGGCCTCTCCCCCATGCCCGCGGGGCTGAGAGGCAGGGCCGTGCTCAAGGTCACAGGAGGAGGAGGTGACAGGGTGGAGGTTGGGACCAGGTCTGCTCACGTGGCACCTCCACAGAGGCCATCCCAGAGCTCTCTCTCAAGTAGCAACCCCCTCTAGTCCCTCTCCCTGCTGGATTTTTCTTCACAATGTCTGACACTCCCTGACACCTTACGGTATGTTCGTTTAGAGAGCCGCCCCCAGAATCAACTTCACCGGGGCAGGGGCTTGGCCTGAAGACTCCGTCCCAATGGGCGCCTGGGCGGCTCGGTCATTAAGCGTCTGCCTTCAGCTCAGGTCATGATCCCAGGGTCCTGGGATCGAGTCCCACATCGGGCTCCCTGCTCATTAGGGAGTCAGCGTCTCCCTCTCCCTCTACCCCTCCCCCCTGCTTGTGCTCTTTTTCTCTCTCCCTCAAATAAATAAAATCTTAAAAAAGAAAACAAAACTCAGCCCCAGGACCTAAGTCTGCTTCCAGCACTCAAAAGATCCCAGTAAACATTACTGCCATTAGCGAGAGAGAACATCACCCAAAGGCCCATAAAGCTGTAAGAGGAAAGTGGTATGCTGTCCCCACAAGAACGGACCATCAGCTTGGGGCTGAAAGATGGGGAGGGGAGGCTACCCCTCGCTGCTGTCCCGGCCACCGCTGGGCCCAGCGCTCCGGCACAGCCCCAATCAACGGAGGCTGCAGGAAGGACAGACCAGCTGCAGACTGGGGCCCGACCCAGGGAGCCCCGGCCGCCAGCACCCACCTGCCGCTCCTGCTCCAGGCCGCAGCGCACCCGCTCGAAGTCGGGCCCCCCCCAGTTGCGCCCATGACGGCGGCTGCCTTCCCGGCGGTCCCGCTCGGGCTCCTCCAGGGGTCCGCTGCGTCGCCGGGGGTCGTCCAGGAAGTTCCGCACTGGGTTGGGCTCCAGCACACCTTCCTGCGGGCACAGAGAATAGGGGGCGGGGGGGGGGGTTGGAGGACTCACCGGGGCCCAGGTGGCTCCACCCCGCCGCGGGGACACCCCCGGCACTGACCCGCTGGTTGCGCTCATACTCTGCTATCTTTTCCATCTCCTCGTTCATCTTCTCGATGTTCTGCCGGCGCCGCTCCTCCCACTCCTGGGGGCAGGTAGAACACAGAGACAGAGACGCTGGGGCATCAGGGGGAACTGCCCGACCCTGGCATGTTAGCATGTGCGCGGAAGAATGACCACAGCGGGGGCGCCTGGGGGGGCTCAGTCGGTGAAGTGTCTGCCTTCGGCTCAGGTCATGGTCCCAGGGTCCTGGGATCCAGCCCCACGTCGGGCTCCTTGATCCGCAGGGAGCCTGCTTCTCCCTCTCCCTCTCCCCCTGCTTGTGTTCCCTCTCTCGCTGTGTCTCTGTCAAATAAATAAATAAAATCTTCAAAGAAAAAAAAAAAAAAAAGGAATGACCACAGCAGGCCTGAGAATCTCTCCGTACATGGGCCTGCTCGCAAGGCCGGCTCGTGGCTGGCATCTGGGAATTTGGCTCCCGGCGTGCTCCTGGGCAACGGTTAGCTATAAAGGGGGCTCCAGGTGCCTCGGCTGGAGGTGCCAACGGTATGGTACGTGCTGAGCGCCTTTCCTTCTGGGGTCTGGAATTTGGGTTTGTAGGAGGCAGAGGAGACCTACATGACGAGTGCCCAATAAAAACCCCAGGTAGGGGGTCTCGAGGGAGTCCCTGGTAGACAGCCCTTCATGGGTGTCATCACCATTCAACGCTGGAGGAAGTAAGGGCACCATGAGGTGTGGCTACACTGGACGAGATCGCTCGGGAGCCTGCGCCTGATCCCCTCCAGACTTCGTCCCCTGCGCCTTCTCCCCTCAGCTTCGCGCTGTAATAAATCTCAGCCATCAATCTTGCTAGGGGAGTACTGAACCCGGAAAAGGAGCTGGGGACCCCGACACGCCACGGCTGCCACAGAAGTGATGCCAGTAATACGAGTAATAACATGGCAGATGGCAAGGTGACTACCCGCCCCCCCAATCCATTCTCCCCTTCTTCCACGGTAACAGAATTTTAGACGAGTACAAGGCCAAGTTGCTGGAGAGGACGTTTTCATTCCCGGGGCTCAGCACACAGGGGAGAAATAAACTTCCACTTGGGTTAAGCCATGGTATTTTGAGGTCTTTCGAGGACAGCAACTTAATGTGTACAAATCACAAACATCCATAAGTAACGTTCTTCAAGCGCTTCCTCTGAGGATTTCAATGCCTGATATCCCAAAATGCTCGCGATACCTTTGAGACCTGATTATTATTCCCCTGAGAACCCAGAACCTCCCAGAAGGAAGTGAGCTGCCCAACGACAGGGAACTAATTGAACCGAGTCGACCCCAAGTCCATGGTGGGCCCTGAGGCCCTCTGCTAGACAGCCTCCCAGCCCGCTGACCTGCGCATCAGGGCGGGAGAGCAGTTACAGTAAGAACATCACTGATCACCACGGATAAATCCAGGCTGCGAGACAGACAGAATAACAGAGCGAGCGAGCAAGCGCACACGTACTGGACAGAAACACTGCACCAGAATGAGCAAAACGAGGGGGGATAAAAAGACAGGGAGAGTGCATGAAGCCCTGGTCAGGGGGACGGAGGAAAGGAGGGAGGAGAGAGAGAAAGAGCCGATGGAGGGGCTGAAAAAGCTAATGGAGGGGCTGAGAAAAGATGGACAAACGGGACACCAGTTCCTCTGAGAGTAGAACCAAAGAGAAACGAGATAGTAAGAGCCTTGGCCAGACGACTCCAGCCTATCCCGGGCTTCTACCTTAGATTTGCGGTCGGCAGCTGAGGCATCTCCAGCTCCTGAGAGTTGAGGGGACCCCCTGCCCCGGCCCCTCCGGCCACGGCCCCCAGATCCTCCTCGAGACTGCTCCCCAGAACCGTCCTCCCAGCTGCGGGCCGCCCGGCCCATGCCTGCCCGGCCTCCCTGCTGGGGGTGCGTCCGGCCTCCCTTGCTGGCCCCTGGGGGTCGTGGGGTCCCAGGAGACCTCCGAGAGGGACCCAAGTTCTTCTCCTGGAGAAGAGAAGGGAGGAAAAGTACAGTCACTGGGATGAGGAGACTGGGCCACCCAAGCCCCGAAGGCAACTGGGAGACTTGGGGCCGCCCACAGGGCTGGGGCGGCAGGCAGGGGAGGGCTCTTGGGCCCCAGGTCTCAACTCTCACCCCCTCCTTGTCCTGACGAGTCCCCCACCCTGGTGTGGAGCTCACCGCCTCAACTGCCACGTTCTCCTTCTCCACCGAGCGGCCCTTCCGGGGAGCTGTCACGGCCACTCCCTCGAGTTCGGCTTTTTTCCGGTCCTCCTCAATCTCCTAGGGGCAAACATCAGCAGGAGGAGAGTGTCAGGGGTCCCGGCGCCAGCTGGATTCCCACAGCCCCCTAAACGTCCCCCAAGATTAGCCCCCACCTAGGCCTCTATCCTCAGCTCCAGGCAAGAAAGCTGGTCACTTCAGCATCTTCCCCCTCCTCCCCCAGCACCATGCTATTCCCCTGCTCAGAAGCCTCCTGTGGTACCCATCTCTGAGTACGAGCCAAAGGCTTCCTCACAGCCTACGGGGCCCTACAGGGTCTGGCCTCATGACTATCCTGACCTCATCCCCCATCCTCTCTCCTTCTTCTCCCCCTCACTCACTCTGCCCTTCTCACTGTTCCTAGAACATACCAGGCTCAGACCTGCCTCAGGGCCTTTGCACCTACTGTCCCCTCTGCTGGGAACACTCTTCCCCCAGAGAGCCTTCAGTCCCTCATCTCCTTCAGGTTTCTGTTCCCGAAACGTCCCCTTCTCAGAGAGGCCTTCCCTGACCAGCTTACAGAAACCACCTCCCCTACCATTCTCTTGTTCACTACCTGGCATTATATGTATTTTGCCTATTGTCTGCCTTGAAGCTTGCAACAGAAGCTGCCTGAGGACAGGAGTACCTGGCTGTTTTATTCACTAATGTATACCCCAAACCTAGAACAATCTGTGACACACACCAGAAACTCGATATTCTTTTTTTTTTCTTTTAAAATAAATGAATGAATGCATGAAAAATGAATAAATGAAACCCACTCTTTCTCTCAGATCCCTTCTCAGGAACAGCCCCGCCAACTACTCTGGCACTTCTGACAAGGACCTGGGCCGCATGCTGGCCCCTCCTCCCCACCTCCACCACTGCCACTGAGCCCTCTCAACAGCCCTGTCCCAGGTTGGGCACCTCCTCTCCTTCCTCCTTGGTCTCTGGGCTCCGGTATCACCTCCTCCCACTCAACACCACAGAGCAGCCAGGGGGCTCTTCCTAAAAGGCTATTCTGACCTGCTCCTGCTCCTGCTCAAAGCCCTCCAGGGTTCCCCAGTGCCCTCAAGAGAAAGTCCAAATTCTCAGCCTGGCTGCCAGGGTCAACATTCCTCCACTGACCTTCCAACTTTAAGCTCCTGGTTTCTGCACAAATTGTTCCCTCTGCTTGAAACACGTTTGGCTCTTCTTTTCAGCTGGCTAACTCACCCCCTTCAGGTGTCGGAATCTCCTCCTCCAGGAAGCCCTCCCTAATATCTGGGTGGGTGAAGAGCCCCTTCTGGGCGCCCCCCAGACCTCTGAACTCCTGCAGCCCAACCCAGCCCACTCTGGGACATCACTGCCTAAAGAACGGTCGGTGCTCCCACTGGACTGTGAACTCTGGACTGTAAAGTCTGGAATGACCTCAGGGCTGTCTCAGTCGTAGCTATATTCCCTGCCACACTCAGCCTAGAGCCTGGCAGTGAAGACCCTGGTGAGTATTCATGTATGAATGATGGAATGATGGAATGAAGGAAGGAATGGCAGGCTAAGGCCTTTGGCTTTTATCCTGAGAGTGATGGGGAGCCATGAAAAGGTTTGAAGGAAGGGAGAGGTGAGGGAAACTCACTGCGGGGAGGAGAGGGGATGGGGTCTCCCAGGGCGGGGCTAGGGCACCTGGTAGCGCCGGATGAGGGCCTCATTTTTTCGCCGAAGAGCCTCGATCCTCTTGTCCAACTCAGCATCCTTCTCCTCCTTCGATTTCAGATCCAGTGTGGCTGACTGAGAAGAGGAGACAGTTGAGAAACAGTAAGAAAAACCTATACCCAACCCAGCACCATTTGATCCAGGGTCTGAGTTTTGGGTCCCCTCCTCCCAAGCCCCCTGACCCAAAGCTCAGATTTGAGACCCCACTTTCCATCTCACCATTCCGCTGGCAAGGTGGTACCAGGGTCTCAGCAAACTTCCCCTCTAGAATGTGGACACAGCACTGGGGGTTCCTGAGGGCAGAGGGAAGAGAAGGACTAAGGCTAATGCCTCCCCAATCTGCTTCCATCTCACCCATACCAGGGACTCCTCTCAAACATACATGCACATAAACAACACCAGCTGCACCCCCAAGAGAATTCTAGCCCCGCGCTCCCACTCCCTCTTCTTGTGCGAGCCCAACACTTACCTGGAAAAATTTACATTCCACCACCTCCCAGACATTTGTGCCCACCCATTCCCTACTTAAACACTAGAGTCGCACCCACCTTGGGAAAGTTCTGGTCCTACCCTACAGCTTAAGGAAACATCCAACATTGCTCCCTTCCAAAGGAAGATTCTAGCCCAGCCTCCACACCCCAGTGCTGGGAGTTTCAATCCAGGCCTCCATCTCCAGAGAACTTTAGATACATCCTCTTGCCCCCCCCCATCTGATTCTAGGCCCACCTTTCTGTGCCCACTCTGGTGCCACTCCATCCCCGTGAAAACTCTAAACGCACCTCTTTCCCAGGAACGGTTCAAAATAACCCCACACAAAAACAAGCTCGAACCCTATGCCTACAAGTTGCCCCGACCCTGGGAGAAGACTTTAGACCCACGCCTCGCTCTGGGATGTCCCAGCCCCGCCTCCAACATCCCGAGAAAGGTACCACTGCTTCCCCAACAACCCCGCAAGGATTCCGAAAACAGGCCCGGTGCCCACTGGCGAGGCTTCCTGGGCCTGGCTCAACCTTCCCAAGGAATACTCTACCCGCCCCGGCGCGGACGAAACTTCCCGACCCACTCCTTTGCAGGGAAAACCTCCAGCCTCTACCGCGTCCGGAAGGCACGGCCCCGCCCCACGCCAGAACCAACTTTCTCGCCCCGCCTCTCCCGCTAGACCTCTGACCCCGCCCACATGCGCGTCGTTAATCTGAGCCCCCTTCTGACTTTCCCAGCCTATCCCCGGCCCCGCCCCCTGGGCCCCCAGGCAACAGCCTGAAGCCGCCCCCTATTCTCGCGTTATTACACCGGCCCCGCCTCCGATTTGCCCAGCCAAGCTCCCGGTCACGCCCCCTGCTTCCCAGCCACGCCTCGTCGCGTCAAACTATGGCCCCGCCCCCGGGAGCCCCAGCCGAGGTTCTGCCTCCGGCGCCAGCTTCCGTGCCAACGTTCTGACCGCGCCCCTGGCTCCGGCAAAACTTTCTGGCTCCACCCCCAGCATTCCCCGCCAGTACTCTGGTCCCGCCCCCTGCCACCCACAACTTTTTGGCCCCGCCCCCGCCCTCGCGTCTGCCTCGCAAGTCGGGGCGGACAATCTGGACCCACTTCAAGCTCAGGCAAAACTTTCTGGCCCCGCCCCCAGCACGTTCGGCCAAAGTCCCGGCCCCGCCCCTCGCTCCCCGGGCTATATTTTGGCTCCGCCCCCAGCCCGGACACAACTTTTTCAGCCCCACCCCCATCTGCCCACCCACGCCCCGGCCCCGCCCACAGCCTGACCCGCCCGGGTCCTGCCCACCCGCCGACGTCCCGCCCCACCAGGGCCCCTCTCACCTCCCATGTGGGCGTCCTGTCCCCGCCCCCCGCAGAGTACTCTGACCCCGCCCCCGCCGGCTGTTCGCTGCCCCGCCCGCACCCGCTCCCGCTCCCCCCACGTGGGGCGCCAGGCCCCGCCCTCTCCGGGCGCGCTCCCGGCCCCCTCCCCCGGTCACCTGTCCCGGAGACCCCGCGGCGTCCGCGACTCCGGCTCCGTCGGCCTCTGCGTCCGCAGCTCCCGGGCCGCGCGCGTCACTTCCCGCCCGCACCACGTGAAGAGGGGAACTAAAGAGGGTCACTTCCGGTCCTGCCGGCCCGTTTCCGGGAGCCTTAAAGGCGCCGCGCCCCCGCGGGTGCAGGCGGGAGTGTGTATAGGTGGTCCTCAAGGGTATTCTGGAGGCTTGCTCAACTTCGTTTGGCCTAGATTACTTCCTTCCAGGGAAAGGAGACACCGTTCTCTCTCTGGCAGGCCTTTACCTGCTTTACCTGCGTCCTCTTTCCTGGTTCCAATAAATAGGTACCAGGCACGCACGGGGCAATGACTCCTGGAAGCCTGACCTGCCAGGCTCATGTGGGGGATTGGTGGGGAATCCCTCACCCCCCTGCCAGTGAAACCTTAGAGTTAGTTGTAGAAGCTTAAAATTTTCAATCGATAGAATCTTTGATTCATTCTCTAAATCTGCATTGAGTGCCAGGCTGGGGGAGGTGGGGTGCATGGAGAGGAGGGGAGTCAAGGCGATGAACAAGGCAGACCCCATCCCTTCCCTGGTGAGGGAAGGCACAAGTAAATGCGAAATAACAGGAACAATTATAAGTGGGCAGACTAGATTCCCTGAGGTTGCTGGTAATTTTACCTTGTGACTTAAAACGGGAAAAAGTGGAAGTACCTGCTAATCCCTGGTCCCTTATAAGGTTACTGTTAACAGCTTTTCAAAGACCTTTTCTACATATACAACTGAATTTCTTGTAACTCCCCAAATACCTGCCAAGTTCACTATATACTGCTTCAGTTCTTTATTCAGATGTTAGATCCGCTCAGGGGCCTTCCCTGAAGCTGCCTGTTTGAAAATTGCAAAACCTCCCATCCCTTTTTTTCTTCCCACTCCATTTTTGCATTTTACTGTTCACCCTCTGAACTACCCAGTGTCTTACTTACTTCCCTTGTTCTCTGTCTCCTCCCCTGTATCGTCTCTTTTTATAACTTACTACGTCCCCAGTGCCTCCAACAGGGCCTCATACATTAATAAGCTCTCCAAAAAAAAAAATTTACAAATGGGTCAATCTTTATTATTACTATTTTTTCCCTTCTTATGAAACAAAAAGTAAAAGCATATATACTGCACTGAGATCATATATCTTTATTTTAACAATGGACAGTTGACAACCTTTAAAACTGCTATGGGATATTCCCTCCTGGAGATGGGCCATAATTCGCCCTACCTGGTCTCATGGATGTTTAAGTTGTTTTCAGATTGGGGAGATGGCCAGCAATGCTGCGTTGAAGTTCTCCAGGCACACAGCTTTGTAAGTACATGACCCGTAATCTTGCTCAAAAAGGACTCAGAATATCATGATTAAGACTACAGACTCTGAAGCCAGAAGGCCTGGGTTTTAATCTCAGCTCTGTCACTTACCAACTGCGTGACCTTGAGCAACGTGTGGAACTGCTCTGGACTTCAGCTTCATCTGTGAAGGAGATATCGTAACACCTTCCTACTGGATCTGTGGTGCAGAATTGAATGGATTAATGAATTAAAACACAGAAAGTAAGGGCGCCTGGGTGGCTCAGTCGGTTAAGCGACTGCCTTCGGCTCAGGTCATGATCCCAGGGTCCTGGGATCGAGTCCCACATCGGGCTCCCTAGAGCGGGGAGCCTGTTTCTCCCTCTCCCACTCCCCCTGCTTGTGTTCCCTCTCTTGCTGTGTCTCTCTCTGTCAAATAAATAAATAAAATCTTTAAAAAAAAAAAAAAAAAAAAAAAAAAAAAAAAAAATAAAACACAGAAAGTGCTTGGCACGAGGCCTGAAATACTGTTAAGTTCTCAATACATGGAGACCATTATTATGGCTTCTAGGAAGACAAATTCCTGGATCAAAAGTTAATTCACATTATGACTTTTCAGTAAAAATAAACCACAGTGGATGCAGGTAGTTTAGGGCCTGAAGTGCCTACAAAGTTGGAAGCCCTCTTGAAAAAGAGAGTAAAAAAAGTATAAGACAAGAGTACCTCCCAGGGTGTTGGACAGAGTGCTGGCTCCGTTGGATGAGGCATCTGGAGGCTCACGCTTCAATACCTCACAGAAAAGCCACGTCTGATACCGGCAGCTCAGCAAAGAAGCTGAGCCCACTTCACTCCCCCAAGCAAGGCCAGAGTGCATGTTTCCCCACAGCCTCGCTGACACTGTGTTTTATCACTTTTGATCTTCACCAACTTGATGGCCCAAGGGTGGTGTAGTCTGAGTCACTTCTCCCTGGCTAAAAAGTCACATTTTTGCACACATACATATATGCATATATCCATTGCTTGCAGGGGTGGAGAGAAAGAGGGATGCTTTAAAGTACAATAAGATTCTCTCTTTGCTCGTGTCTGTGTTGTTAAAAAAAAAAAAGTGAGGGGTGCGCCCAGGTGGCTGTAGGTTAAGCATCTGACTCTTGATTTTGGCTCAGGCCATGATCTCAGGGTCATGGGATCAAGCTCCATGTTAAGCTCCATGCTCTGTGCAGAGTCTGCTTAAGATTCTCTCTCTGAGGGGCACCTGGGTGGCTCAGTCATTAAGCATCTGCCTTCGGCTCAGGTCAGGGAAGCCTGCTTCTCCCTCTCCCACTCCCCCTGCTTGCGTTCTCTCTCCCTGTGTCTCCCTCTGTCAAATAAATAAATAAAATCTTAAAAAAAAAAAAAAAAGATTCTCTCTCTTCCCCTCTCCCTACTCCCCCTTCCTCCCCCTCTCTAAAAAAAAAATATAAAGAAGGAGAAGAAGAATCCAAAGTTCAGCTAAGCTACCCCAACTGGGCATCTCCCTGGAGCCAAGACACTGACCCAAGCCCCAGATGGTTCTGATTTCCTCGCCCCTCCCAGCCCACCAAGGAGGTGAGCGGTCTCACTATCATTTTAGAGATGAAGACACAGGCCCAGAGAGCCGATGGTGCTGGCCCTCAGTCACCCAGCTACCCAGCAGCCAACCTGGGATTTGCACCTGGGGCCACCTGACCATGGGGATGCCATGTGGAGGACAGGTAAGAGCATGATCTCTGGGGCCAGGCTGCCGACTTCAGATCCCAGATCTGCCACCTGGGCTGTAGGACCCTGGGGAAGTTACTTAACTTCTCTGAGCTTTAGTGCCCTCATCTGTGAAATGACAATAAGAGCGCCTATCCCATCAGGCTACTGGAAGGTGTGGTGAGCTGAGTAGCAGCCCCCAAAGATGTCCACATCCTGATCCCTGGAACCTGTGAATGTTAATTTACATGGCAGGAGGGATTTTGCAAATGAGATTAAGAATCTTGACATGGGGGGGGGGGGGGCGCCTGGATGGCTCAGTTGGTTGGGTGTTTGACTCTTAATCTCAGCTCAGGTCTTTTTTTTTTTTTTAAGTTTATCTTATTTATTTATTTATTTTTTAGAGAGAGAGAGCGGGAGGGGCAGAGGGAGAAGGAGAGAGAATCCCAAGCAGGCTCGATGATCAGTGTGGAGCCCATCTTGGGGCTCAATCTCACAATCCTGAGATCATGACCTGAGCAAAATTCAAGAGTCGGACACCTAACCAACTGAGCCACCCAGGTGCCCCTCAGTCCAGGTCTTGATCTCAGGGTCGTGAGTTCGAGTCCCGCATTGGGCTCCACGCTGGGCATGGAGCCTACTTAAAAAAAAAAAAAAGGAATCTTGAGATGGGGCAATGCTCCCGGACCATTTGGAGGGGCCCACTGTAATCCCAAGGGTCCTTATAAGAGGGAAGCAGAGGGAGATTTGACACAGAACACAGGGTGACATGTTATGTGGCTGGCACTGAAGGTGGAGGAAGGACCCACAAGCCGAAGAATGCAAAGAATACAGCTGGGAAATGTTTCAGAAAGGTCAGGAGACGGACTCTCCCCTAGAGCCTCCCCAGGGAGTGTGGCCATGCTACCTTGATTTGGGCCCAGGGAGGTTGCTTCTGCATCTGGGACCCCCAGAGCTGTAAGAGAACAAATATGTGTTGTTTGATGGCAGCAAGAGTCTCTTAGAACAGTGCCTGGTACACAGCAGGTGCACTTAACGGTTACTCTTTTTTTTAAAACTGATTTATTTATTTGAGAGAGAGACAGAGAGCATGGGGTAGGGGGGCGGGATTGAGGGGCACAGGGAGAGGGAGAGAGAAACTCCAAGCAGACTCCACCCTGAGTGCGGAGCCCCACGCTGGGTACGCTCTCATGACCCCAAGATCAATCAGGAACTGAGCCGAAAACAAGAGTCAGTCGCCTAACCCACGGAGCCATCCAGGCGTCCCTTAACTGTTACTCTTTTTTTTTTTTTTTTTTAAGATTTTATTTATTTGACAGAGAGAGACACAGCAAGAGAGGGAACACAAGCAGGGGGAGTGGGAGAGGGAGAAGCAGGCTTCCCGCGGAGCTGCGAGCCCGACGCAGGGCTCGATCCCAGGACCCTGAGGATCATGACCGGAGCCGAAGGCAGACACTTAACGACTGAGCCACCCAGGCGCCCCACTGTTACTCTTGTTATTACCTGAAACACCCCCGGCCAGCCCATGGCCTCTGGCGATAGGTCACAGTCACGGACGTTTGCTGCCTTATTGGTTAAAAGGCTGCTGTCTTTTCATTCACATCAGGGGCCTGACAGGCCTTGTTTATGCCCATTTTACAGAGAGGAAAACAGGCTCGCCGAGGCTCCCCTGCACAGTGGGTCACAGCCACTCCAGCAGCTGCCGTAACCAATGGCCACACACTGTGTGATTTATACCGGCAGAAGTGGGGCGCCCCGGAGGGCGCAGTCGGTTAAACGTCCAACTCTTGGTCTCAGCTCAAGTCGTGATCTCAGGGTCGTGGGATCGAGCCCCACATCGGGCTCTGCACTCAGCGGGGAGTCGGCTTGGAGATTCTCTCCCTACCCCCTCTGCTCCTCCCCCCCCTCACGGGTGCTCTCTCTCTCTCTCTCTCTCAAATAAATAAAATATTTTTAAAAATTTAAAAACAGGGCACCTGGGTGGCTCAGTCATTAAGCGTCTGCCTTCGGCTCAGGTCATGATCCCAGGGTCCTGGGATCGAGTCCCACATTGGGCTCCCTGCTCCGCGGGAAGCCTGCTTCTCCCTCTCCCACTCCCCCTGCTTGTGTCCCTGCTCTCGCTCTCTCTCTGTCAAATAAATAAATAAAATCTTTAAAAAAAAAAATTTAAAAACAGCAGAAGTGTATCTGTCAGAGTTCCGGAGGCCACAAGTCTGAAATCAAAGTGTGGGCAGAGTTGCCCCTTCCAGAGGCCCTGAGGGAGGATCTGTCCCAGGCCTCTCTCCTAGCTTCTGGCAGTGGTCGGCAATTCTTCGTGTTCCTTGGCTGGCACATGCATCACTCCGATCTCGGCCTGGGTCTTCACGTGGCCTCCTTCTCTGTGGCTCTGTGTCTTCTCCTTTTCTGTCTCTTCCAGGGACACCTGTCATGGGCTGTAGGGCCTCCCCTGCTCCGGGATGTTCGCATCTCAAGATCCTTAATCGAAGTACATCTGCAAAGACCCTTATTCCAAAGAAGGTCATGTTCCCAGGTTCCAGCGAAGGTACCTTGGGAGAAACAATTCAACCCACGACGGCGGTGGCAGGGCCAGGATTGGAACCCAGTCCCAGGTCTTGCGAGCCTTCACATGGCCCAGCCCTCCAAAGAGCCCTGATTCACACCAAAAGACGCTGCCCAGGACCCAATGGAGCCGATCTTAAGAAATGTTGCTCCCGGGTGCCTGGGTGGCTCAGTCATTAAGCGTCTGCCTTCGGCTCAGGTCGTGATCCCAGGGTTCTGGGATCGAGCCCTGCGTCGGGCTCGCAGCTCCGCGGGAAGCCTGCTTCTCCCTCTCCCACTCCCCCTGCTTGTGTTCCCTCTCTCACTGTGTCTCTCTGTCAAATAAATAATCTTAAAAAGAAAGAAATGTTGCTCCAGCCCCGCTGCGCAATATTTTTGGTTCCATGAAACCAGCACGTTCTCCCTCATGCCTGGGCTGTGGCATAGCCTATTTCTCCTGCTTGGAAACCTCTTCCTCCGGGCTCAGCGCCGATGTCACCTCCCCCAGGAAACCTGCCTTGACCCGCAGCTAGGTCGGGTGCCACTCTGTGCTGTCCCCATCCCCCCCCTGGATTCTCACATCCCAGTCCTGGCCACTCGGGTCCTCACTGCCCAGGGTCAGGTCAGTGTCCCGCACTGGACTCTGAGACCTGTGGGGGCAGGGCTGCGGTTGTCGCTGTCTCCACGGGGTCCCCAGCACTGTCCAGCACAAGCCCACGTAGTTCTGAATACAAATGGAATCACTAAAGCAACCTGGTTCTCCCAAAGCTTCTGTGTCCCCAACCCATTAGACCAGCAGGACGCAACCCCATCGAATCCCAAATGCCCTTTATGACACAAACTCAAATACCCCTTGTACTATCCCAAAATGAAATGCCTAGACAGTATGTCCTACCTACACACATCTTTTTTTTTTTTTCCTTAAGATTTTATTCATCCAGGGGCGCCTGGGTGGCTCAGTCGGTTAAGCATCTGTCTTTGGCTCAGGTCATGATCCTCAGGGTCCTGGGATCGAGCCCCGCATCAGGCTCCCTGCTCTGCGGGAGGCCTGCTTCTCCCTCTCCCACTCCTCCTGCTCTGTTCCCTCTCTCGCTGTGTCTCTCTCTGTCAAATAAATAAAATCTTAAAAAAAAAATTTTATTCATCCATTTGAGAGAGAACAGGAGCAGGGGGAGGGGCAGAGGGAGAGGGAGAAGCAGACTCCCCGCTGAGCAGGGAGCCGGATGCGGGGCTCGATCCCAGGACCCCGGGATCACGACCTGAGCCGAAGGCATACGCTTAACCCACTGAGCCACCCAGGCGCCCCAATCTTTGTGGGGCTCGAACTCATGTCCCCAAGACCAAGAGTCGCATGCTCTTCCGACTGAGCCAACCAGGCACCCCTATATACATCATTTTTAGTGTAATAACCTGAATTTACCATAAGGGAGAAATTACAGAAATCGAAGGGAAGAAATTTATAATAAAGCAACACACGTGAAAATGCATTCGTACAACGACACTGGAAATCGTCAAGAAGTAGTCAAATGTTTTTGGCTCTTACAATGAATGTGTTGAGCGCAAGAGAGTTGGAATGCTTGCTAATGGAACAACACCCTTTTGTGGTATCAGAATTTGAGAAAGGGCTGAGCGCGTGCGCATGCGCGTGGGTAGCCCCATCTTCGGTGCTTGCCTGCATGTGGACTCTCGAATGCAGCAGCTGGACGCTGTGGTGAGCCCCTGGATAGCAGGAGTGGGGTTGCAGGGGTGACGTGATGACCCAAAATGGTGCATCACCCTTGGCTGATTTCTGAACGCAACGTAGCACAATTTTCCCTCGACGGAAGTAGTGGACTCCCTGGAAAATTCAGGATATACTAAACCACGCAAAAAACACTTTGTGTCTCCCAACAAAAGAATGTCTCAAATGCAAAGGCGTGACAAGGTCAGGTGCTGGTGAGGATGTGTGCAGCCGCGGGGACTCTCGCCCCCTGCTGGAGGGGGACACAAAAGGCTCCAGCCACTGTGGGGTAACCACTTGGCAAGTTCGGCTACAGTGGGATGCGAACGCGCACCTTATGAGCCAGCAAATGAACCCCGAGGGATTGACCCAACAGAAATGCGTGCACACGTTCACCAAACGACATGTCCCGTACAAGAATGTTCATAGCAGCGGGGCGCCTGGGTGGCTCAGTGGATGAAGCGTCTGCCTTCCGCTCAGGTCATGATCCCAGGGTCCGAGGGTCAAACCCCAACTCTGGCTCCCTGCTCCGCGGCAAGCCTGCTTCTCCCTCTGCTCCCACCTGCTGCTCCCCCTGCTTGTGCTCTCTCTCTCTCTCTGTGTCAAATAAATAAATAAATAAATAAAATCTTAAAAAAAAAAAATGTTCATAGCAGCTTTAACAGAATTGCCCCTCTTACGGGCTGATTTGTGTCCCCTCCCTGATTCATGTGTCAAAGTCCCAACGCCCCCCTACCCAGCACCTCAAAATGTGACCTAATTTGGACGTAGGCCTTTTACAGAGGTATTTCAGTGAAAATGAGGTCAGTAGGGTGGGCCCTAATCCCGTGTGACTGGTGTCCTTGTAAGAAGAGGAGATTAGTACACACGCACGGGAAAGCCCCGGTGAGGCCTCAGGGACAAAATAGCCATCCTCGAGCCCAGGAGAGAGGCCACAGAAGAAACTAACCCAGCCAACGCCTTGAGGTAGGACTTCTGGCCTCCAAGATTATGAGAAAAGAAAGTTTTTGTTGCTTCATGCCATCCAGCCTGGGCTACTTGGTGGTAGCTGTTCTAACTAAGCAAACTGATACCGCCCCAAATCAGAGGCAACCAGAATGCCCATCAGAGGTGCAATGGATGAACCCTCTCTACCTACGTGCTATGGCGTGGATGAATCTCATGAACATTATGCTGAGTGACAAAAGCCAGACAGACACAAAGAAGCACATACCATGTGATTCTATTGATAGGAAGTTCTAGAACAGGCAAAACTCACCTCTGCTCTTAGAATCAAGGATAACGGGACACCTGGGTGGCTCAGTCGGGTAAGCATCTGCCTTCGGCTCAGGTCAGGATCCCAGGATCCTGGGATCAAGCCCCACATCGGGCTCTCTGCTCCTTGGGAAGCCTGCTTCTCCCTCTCCCACTCCCCCTGCTTGTGTTCCCTCACTGGCTGTCTCTCTGTCAAATAAATAAATAAAATAAAACGAAAAACCAAAGAATCAAGGATAATGATGGTCCAGGGGAGGGGCTAGAAGGGGCCCCGAAGAGGTCCTGGGGGAGTTGGGGGGGGGTTGTTATGTTTTATTTCCTCCCCTGGGCTGCTGATGACATGGAATTTTACACTTGGGATTTGTGGGTTTTACAAAAGTGTGTAAGTTACGCCTTCGTTTCAACAACGTTTTAAAGAACTTTGAAAATAAAATGTGCAAGTTCAAAAAGACATCGTAAAAAGTACTTTGTGTTTGTATGTGAAATGGAGTTAAGTTCTAGCATCAGTACATACATAACTCTCAGACTACATGAAGATCTGGTGGGAAATTGGACCGCCGAGCGGGCCGACTTTCGCGGTGCGAGATTCCCATCCGCCACCAGGAGGCGCTGTGGCGCACTCCTTGCCGCTTTACACGCGGGACAAGCATTCATTCAACAAACAGTCCCTGAACCATGAAAACCCTCTCTGTGCCCGGCCTCGTTCTGGTTTTCCGATCTGTGAAATAGAGATCAGAACGTACAGCTGTCCTGGAGGCACGTCCCTGTCGCCGTGGAGCTCACTTTCTCCAAGAGGAGACAGACCATACATAGCTAAACAAATGAATATGTTAGTAGGAGCGCTGTGGAGCAAAATAAGGCTGGGTGAGGGGACAGAGATGGTTCCGGAAGGCTTCTCTGAGGAGGTGACTTTTTTGTTTTAAGATTTTATTTATTTGACAGAGAGAGACACAGCGAGAGAGGGAACACAAGCAGGGGGAGTGGGAGAGGGAAAAGCAGGCCTCCCACGGAGCAGGAAGCCCGATGCGGGGCTCGATCCCAGGACCCCGGGATCATGACCTGAGCCGAAGGCAGACGCTTAATGACTGAGCCACCCAGGCGCCCCAACCTACAGTGTTTAAAGAGCATTTTCTACATGGCGGCCTCACTTTTGTTGCATGAATTATCTTCTAAACTCATCCCAAAGCCCTGTGCCAACTGTGCCCTTCTAACCTCCATTTTACAAAGCAGGACACTAAAGCCCTGAGATGCTGTGAGTTGCCCAAGGTCACACGACCAGCTGGGATTTGAGCCCACAGGGATCTTTCTGACTCCCAGAGCTCACTATACCACCTCTATGACAAATCTATTATAATTCTTAGTAGTATCATGCTAGGCAAGGTACTTAATCTTTCTGTGACTCAGTTTCCCTATATGGAAAACGGCGTTCGTGATAACAGGTTGTAAGGATTAAATAAGATAAGTACAGTGACGCACACACTCTATGTTTTTGGTATTACTGCAATGATCCACTGAATCCACCAATAGCTACTGAGCAAATTATGTAGACTCCACTTTCAAAATCTATAAATCTGAATAAATCCAGAATCCTACCACATCTCCCACCTCCACTTCCGGCCTCTCAGGATACTCATAGGATTTAACGAGGTCGTGCACACAGTAGGTGCGTCATTATTTACGATTATTATTTCTCTCAGCCCCTTCCTCCTTCCAGCTGCTCAGGCCAATACCTGGAGTCGCCCAAACTTCTCTCTTTCCCTCACGTCCACACCCAATGCCTCAGCCAATCCCATCGGCTCCCCCTTCGATCTGACCCCACAATCACCACCCCAGCCCGAGTTAGGACAGTAGACTCCTCTCTGGGCTCCCTGCTCTCGGCTCACAGCCTGTTTCCCACGTGACCGCCAGAGGGCGCCTGTTAGAACTAAATCGGCTCACCTCCCTCAGCTCAGAACCCTCCAGTGGCTCCTCCCTTGTCAGAGTAAAAGCTAAAGTCTTCATCCGGATTTAACCCCCTCTCAGACCTCACCTTCCACCCCTCTCCCCTTCTTCACGCACTCCCAGCTCTTCCCAGCTGCGGAGGAGCTCCTCGCCATCCTGGACAAGCCCACTCGGCCCTCAGGACCTTTGCACCTGCCCTTCCTTCTGTCTGGGCGCTCACTCCTTACTTCCTCACCTCCTCTGGGCCTTTACTGAACTACCGCTTCCTTGGTCACCCTCGTGAATAAGACCACCCCGTGCCTGGCACAGAGGAGGCCCTCGGTAGAGCTCTGCTGAATGAATGAGTATAAGAATAAATGACCACAGACATCTTGGTGGTCATACCCATTCCCTTCTCTCCCCGTGTAAGCCCCCAAAGGGCTCCATTCACCAGCTGTGTGACCGTAGGCGGCCGACCTCAGTTCTCTGGCCTCAGTTCACCCGTTGGAAATGGAATTTAAGATGGTCTCTTCCCCAAGGGGTCGTTGTGAGGATTAAATGGGTTCATATTTGCAGCATTCATAAACTGGCGACACGACGTGGTCAGCGGCAGGGGTGGACTTTCCGCGCGGCACCTGCGCTTCCGCATTTCGCCGCTCGGGGGCAGCAGGCGCCCGAAGGATTCGCCCGCGCGGCCCGCGCGGGAAAAGGAGCGGGGGCAACTCCAGCAGAGGAAGCTGATGAAATCCAAGCCAAACTAGCAGTGAGCTCATCCCGCCCGGGCGCCTCCGGAAGCCACGGGGCCGCCTGGCCTCCGCCTGGCCCGAGCGATAAAGCTCCGGTGCTGAGCCCGGGCGGGAAGTCCTTCCTGATGTCTGCCCTGCGTGGGGCCTGCTGCCAGAAGCCTAAGCCTGCGGGGAGGGGCGAGGATGAGGTAGCGAATAGTCCCCTGGCCGTCTCCGCAGAAGGAAAAGTGAATTCTGAGCATGACCGTGGGAGTGAGAGAGAAAGGGGATGGGGGGAGACAGAGACAAGAGGTGGGAGAGACAAGGGGAGGGGAGACAAAGCTGGGGAGACTGAGGCAGAGGACGGGGAGACAGAGAGGAGAGACAACTCGGCAAAGTCAGATGGAGGGACAGAGATGGAGAGAGACAGAGATAGGAAGAGAGATGGGGAGACAGAGAGACGCCGGCAGAAGCAGAGATGGGGAGCCTGGAAGAGGCAGGGGCGGGGTGTGGGAGACAGAGGCAGAGAAAGAGACGGCAGGGACACTGAGGCAGCGAGAGAGCAACGTGGGCAAGACGGGGCCGCGCAGAGACCTAGCGGGCGGCAGAGCTGCGGGAAGCCGAGGCACAGAGACCCGTGAGGGAGAGGGATGGAGTCCCGGGGACGGAGCTGCGGACCGTGGGCGAGCCGGCGGGGAGAGGGTGGCCCGCAGGGGCGGGCCGGGCGCGGGGGGCGGCCCCCTCCCCCCCCATCCCCGGGGCGGCGGCGGCGGCGGCGGCCGAGTTACCGAGTTACCAAGTTACCGCAGGATTCGCGAGCTTCTCACTGGCGCGGCCGCAGCCAATCAGAAGGCAGCGCCGCTGTTCTCGGGCAGGAGGCCCGGAGACGCGCGCACCTTCCCCCGACACCCAGCGAAGCGCGCCGACACACAATCGCAGCAGCTCGCACACACGCACTGTCCCAGGGACGCGCAGCATCGCCCCGACACGCGCGCCATCACCGTGACACGCACACAGACGGACACACACCAGGATCGCGCCGAGACACGCGGCATCACACGGGCACCCCAAATCTCGGTCAGCCGGCACAGTCCCAGGACGCACGAGCCCTGCCCAGACCCACAACCACCGCGACACACCTTACCCCAACACACAACCGCATCGCCCAGACACAGGTAGTCTCCATGACTTAGTTCCTAGAACACACAGTATCAGGGACACACACACGATCACAGTGACACCCTCACAATCCCACAGCCAGTTTATCCCAGTGACACACAAACGCAATGACACACTCAGCCACGGTGGCACACGACATTGCAGAGACACACCATCTTATTAACATAGAGAGAGTCCCATAGAGAGAGACACACAACATGACCCTGACAACACAACCACAACGACACACAATTACAACGACACACATAATCATAATGACACGCAGCGTTGCACGGATGCAGCGTTGCACGGATACTCTCAGTCACACACAGTCCCACGGACACACAACACTTCAGATACAATGACGATGCTACACACACAATCCCACTATACACAGCACTGTCCAGACACGCATGGTAACAGGGACACGCATGTGCATCTTCCCCTTGACACACAGCAAAAGCACAATGGCACACACAATCACAGTGACACAACATACCCAGCACACTACACCACAGTGATGTTACACCCATGCATCCAATCACACTAACACAAGGGTACAATGACGCAGCACTTTCACAAACATTTCTACTAACACGCATCATTCCAACACATATACAGTCCCCGTGTCACACAAACACAACCGCACACACACCATGTCATATACAGCCCCCGTGTCACACAAACACGACCGCACGGACACACACCATGCCATATACAGCCCCCGTGTCACACAAACACGACCGCACGGACACACACCATGTCACATACAGCCCCCGTGTCACACAAACACAACCGCACGGACACACACCAGCACACTGCACAAAACAACACAATGACACAAACAACACACAGACACACCATCACCCGCACAGCACACCCGAACATCACTCAATAACACACTGACGCACAATCACGGCCACAGACACCCAATGGGACAAATGTAGCAGGCTGACACACAGCACCATCTTCCTGACACACACAGTCGACTGACACGCAAGAGCGCGCTGACAGTCACACACACCCACACACGGCACCCTGACACAAGCACCACCCTCATAGGTCAACCCTTGACACACAGCACACTGACCCAGCAGACCTCCAGAGAACTCTCCAGCACACAAACACACAGTCACACAAACACTGCCCCCATCCTTGCCCTTGCCCCAGTAAGATGTGTGCAACGTGGGATGCTGGAGGGGGTGCGTGTGCTGAGTGGGCTCGGGTGTGCGTGTGTGTGTGCTTATGCCTCCCCCTCCCGGCCCTTCCTGGGGGGGCGGGGCCATGCGGCAGCCGCTGTTACCGGGTAAACTTCCCCGCCCCCCCCAGCGCGGCCATTAGTCAACCGCCCCCAGGATGATGTCATCGCCTCATTCTGGAGGCTGAGTAATCCTCGACTCCGCCCCCCCCCCCCCCCCCCAGGTACTGGGGTAAGGGCGGGCCGCACCTGGGCTCACCAGGGTCTGGAGCTAGGGGCTCTGCTCCCTGGGCCTCCCTGGGGTGGGGACTGAGGAATCTGAGCCTCTCTGGAGTGGCCTGGGGACTCACATCAGGGTCCCTGGAGGCTGGAGGCTCCCAGTCCTGGATCCCTGGTGGCCAGCTAAAGGCACTGGAAAGCTGGAACTTCCAGACCTGGGGTCCAGAACATCGCACGGTCCTGGAACTGGGAAGAGCCCCCCTGTACCACTGTGAGGGGCTGGGTCACCTCGGCAGGTGTCTGGAGGGGGTGGGTGTCTGAGAGACTTGGGGCTTAGACTTCCGGGTCCTTGGCACTGTGAGGCCTGGTACCCTGGGGGGGGGGGTGGCGGCGGGTGCCAGGGAGTAGAGGGAGTGGCTGTGGGGTCAGAGGCCTGGGTCCTGGGAGATCAGCAAGCTTGAGCCTGGGGAAAAGGGCTCAGAGGGGAGGGAAGTTAGCAGGTCTGCGACCTGGGTCTGGGCAGGCGGTCATCTGGATAAGTTGGGACACCTGAGGGTCTGGTGACTGTTGGGGCGGGGGAGGGGCTTCCTGTACCAATACGGGTGAGGGCCAGGATGCCCAGGTTCTCTGGGCAGCTCAGAGCCTGAGGTCCAAAGGCCCGAGTCCCTGTTTGGGGAGATGGGGGGCGGGGGTGGGGTGGGCGATGCTGCGACCTAACTTTTATAGCATCAGACAGGCCTGGAATCCCCTTTTGGGAGCACCCTCAGCCCTTCTTTCCTGGGGCTGGGAAACTAGCATCCCCTGGGGCGAAGGGATTCATATCTTGATGTCACAGGAGAGGGCATGCTTGGGTCCTTTGGGGAGGGCGGGGCACTTCTTATGGGGTCAGGACGCTGGGTCCTTTTCGGAGGAGTAGGGAATCCTCAGCTTCTCTTTCAAGATGCCCGAATCTTGTTTTGGGGTGGGGTGGGGTGGGAGGGATAAACAGACCCTGCCTTCGCGGGGTCAGGACGCCCAGGTCTCCTCTGGGAGGGGAACGCTCCGTCCCTGTTTTCACAAGGCCAACTCCAGCGTACCTTCCTGGCGGGGTGGAGGCACGGGATGCGCAGCCCCTGTTTCCAGCCCATCCCAAGTGCCCATCCTCGCCCGAGAGTGCGGGGCGGGGTGGAGGGGGGATGGGACGGTGCCCAGCCCGGGTCTCACCCCAGCCGGCCGCAGGCTTGCAGGCCGTGCGCCCGGCAGCTCCCCGGGGCCCGGCTCCCCGCCCCCCGCGCCGAGGGCTCCCCCAGATCGGGGCGGGCGGGCGCGGCGGCGGCCAATGAGCGCTCTCGCCGTCTCCGGGAGCCGGGCCGGTTCTGCCCGCCTGGCATTGGGCACGCGGTGGGCAGCGGCGGGCGGGGCCTGGGGGGTCCTCGCGCCTGGTTGGGCCAGGCTTGTTGCTGGGTAACGGGGCGGCGAGTTTCCCCTGGCAACGGCGGCGGGTACCGCTCACTGGCTGGCCGGGAAGGAGGGGGGGCGCGGGCGCAGGCAGGCCCCGCAGACCCCAGCAACAGCGCGCGGCCCCCGCCCCGCCGGGGAGCGGTAACCTTCACACGCGCCGGCCGCTCGGACCCTGCGGACACCCGCGCCCCCGCCCAGCCCCCACGCGGCTCCGGTCCAGCCCCCGGGCCTGGGGGGCCGGCTGCACCGAGGAACCCAGGAGGCCCCCTCCCCACCGTGGAAAGCCAGGACTCAGGCCCTGCAGTGAAAAGTTAAGTCCTTCCCAACTCCCTCTCCCCGAGCTGCGAAATCGACTCACCCAGAATGGCAAACAAGATGCTGGGGAAGGTGGTGGGTCTGCAGTAAACCAGCTGGGACGTTTATTTTCTCGAACCAACGATTCCCACGGAGGCTACTCCTGCAGAGCACTGCTCTAAGTGCGTTGCAAACATAAACCCATGTAATCTTCACAGTTCGTTTCGGGTCCCGCGGTGACCCTCTTTCTACAGAAAAGGAAACTGAGACAGAGAGGGAAAGCTTGCTCAAGGTCATCATTTGAACCCAGGCAGCCTGGCTCCCGAGTCTGAGCTGAATGTCCCTCTGAGAGGCATTCATATTCACAGCTTTCTTTAAAATTATTTTGTATCATTTTTATTTTTTAAGTAACTCTATGCCCCCGACGTGGGGTTGGGGCTCAGGACCTTTAGATCAAGAGTCCGGGAGAAACTGCAGGGCAAGCAAAACACACTGGTGGCTGGCCCGTGGACCCCTGGTTGGAGACCCCTGCCCCAACTTGAGGGTCTTAGCTTGAAGTCCTTATTTGGATTCTCCAGAGTCAACGGACTCCCACATTGGTAATATTCATGATGGGTAACATGTATATTAATCAACCAATAGGCCCCAGTGCCTTCTTTTTTTGACCTTCTTACGCTGCAAAATCCTATGAGGTAGGGACCTGTGCTGTCCCAACTCCAAGCTGAGGAAATTGAAGCTCAGAGGCATGACCACTGGCCCAAGGCCACACAGTTAGCAGGTGGCAGAGCTGGGGATTCTAACTCAGGCCATTTAGACCAGAGTTCAGAGCTCTGCAAGCAGGCTTTGGGGGGGATGGGCTACAGCTGTGGGGACCCTGACTAATTTCTCTTAGCCGACTCTCCACAACAAGGAATCATCCGGTCCCAAATAGAGGAGGTTGAGAAACCCTGGTCTATGCCAAGTATGACACCACCACCGCCACCGACCCCTCTCGTTTTCTCTCCACCTGGTCTCTCCCTCAGTCTCTTTCTGACTTTCTCCACTTCCCTGAGCTGAGTCTTCCTGTCTCTCTGTTTGTGTCTCTTTTTACCTCTGTTTCTCACCCTCCATCAGAGGTGTGGGTGACCCCTCCAATCTTAAGAGACCCTTGTCCCCCCCTCCAAAAAAGAGGCCCTTGTCCCCTATCCAGGGGAGCATGGACCAGAAGCAGGGTTGGAAGGAGGCCCAGAATGCTCTTCCAGGAACTTAGAGACGAGGGAGTCCCTTGGTCCCTCAGGAGATAGAGGTGGGGAAATGTAGTCTGGAAGATGCAGGTGGGGCCTTCTCCTTCCCTGTGCCCCTAGGGTAGAGGTCTCAAAAGGGCAGCCCTAGAGCTAGTCACAAACGTTCTTATCTCTTTGCCCACACAGCGTTTATTCTGGAGTTTGTATGCTTCTAGAAGGAAAACAAAAATACAAAGAATCTTGCTTGGGGTGGTGTACACACATGGCGGACCTTAGTCACAACTCACCAGACTGTGCACTTAAAAAGAGAGAACTTCATCACGTGTAAATATATCTCAATAAAGTGAAGTAAAAAACAGTAAGATCTCTCCCTCTGACCCTCCCCCCTCTCATGCTCACTCTATCTCATTCTCTCTCTCAAATAAATAAATAAAATCTTAAAAAAAAACAAAACAAAACAGTAAGATCTGTGATTTCACGATGCACGGTGTGCTCGTCAGCCCCAGTCCCCACCACTCCCTGGGGTATGACACTGGACTCGTTTCTCTCATTTATTTGATCATGGCCCTTGAGGTTGAGCCCCCTGGTCCGGGGTGATAGGATGCCAGAATTTGTAACAGGATCTGGACTAGACAGTGGGAAGAATTGTGACTGGTGACAATGCTTATGGCCTCGTAAAACTCTTGGCCCACACCTCTACCCACCAAGCCAGATTCCTACCATTCTTCACATTCATCCCCGCCCCCCCCCCCCCCCCCAGGACACTCCAGCACGCTGGTTTCCTGGTGTCCAGTCTTAGATTGGGCAGCCGGAGAGCACAGACCCACGAGTAGGGGGTGAGCTAGCCCAGGGCTGGGGCCTGTCTCTCAGCTTCATCAGTGCTAGGCACAGAGCAAACACCCACAATAATTACTTATTATTTTTTTAAGATTTTATTTATTTATTCATGAGAGACAGAGAGAGAGAGAGAGAGGCAGAGGGAGAAGCAGGCTCCCAAGGAGCAGGGAGCCCGATGTGGGACTCGATCCCAGGACCCTGGGATCATGACCTGAGCCGAAGGCAGACGCCCAACCATCTGAGCCACCCAGGCGCCCCTCACAATAATTAGTTATACTAGTGATAATAGCTGCCATTTATTAGGTGCTCACTCCGTGTCAGACAATGTACTCAGTGACTTCCATGCACGATCTCATTTCATAAATGTCCAAAGGAGCATCTCTCACACACCTTTGAACTTGGTCTACAGTCAGAAATACACTTTCTCCGTGACCTGATACACTGTGTATGAGCAATGTTTTCACAAAACAGTATTTTCTTTGACTTCATGATTTTTTTTAAAGGATGTTCTCTTTTGTATTTTTGGTTTTTTAAAGTCTGGTCAAGAGCCCCTCAAGTCGCAGGTAGAAGGATTGACGAGAAAGGGGCACCAGGGGAGTATCGGGGGTGACAGAAATGTTCCAAATCTTGCTTGGGTGGTGTACATGCATTGACACACGGTGGACGTTAGTCACAACTCACCAGACTGTGCACCTAAAAAGAGAGAACTTCATTACGTGTAAATATATCTCAATAAAGTGAAGTAAAAAACAGTAAGATCCACAAAAGTGATTTCACGATGCATGGTGTGCTCATGACCCACAGTTTGAAAAACACTGGAAGGAAAGAAGGGGGGAATGAATGAATGAGGGAAGGGAAGGAGGGAAGGAGGCTGAATTAGTCCCCAGTATGTAAGTATATATGTATGTATGTATGTATTCATTTATTCATTTATTACATAAGTAAGTTAAGTAGTAAGCTCTACACCCAATGTGGGGCTTAACCTCAGGACCTGGAGACCAAGAGTCACATGCTGTACGACTGAGCCAGCCAGGCGCCCCCAACTCCCCAGTATTTAAAGTAGGGAGATTTCACAGGAGATGTGCACTTCCGGCTTCTCTTGGGAAATGGAGGGATCTGGCGCCGGAGGGAAACCAAGTCTGAGAACCTGGAGAAGCCCCATTTTGCTCAGATCTGGCATTCCTTCTCAGCCAGCCCAGTGCCGGGTGCTCAGATGACTCGCCCTGTGGTGACGTGGTTCGGCTAGGGGTGTGACATCGCGGGAAGGGAAGGTGCAGACCGAGGAGCCAGGGCTCCTGAGTCCTGGGGGAGGGAAGGCTATGGGGTCACCAAGTCCAAGCAAGGGAAAGAGTGGCAAGGAGAAACAGAAAGGGAAGTGAAAGCCAGGAGGCAGGGTGTGAGCACGTCAATGCAGGGGCTGCCCGGGCATGTCCCGTCAGGTGCCAGGGGTTTCCTTCTTGCCCTGAGTCCCCCCGCCAGATTTGTGGCGAGTGTGGCCAGGTGTGCTTGCTCCAGAGTGTGTCCCCGTCAGTGGGCCAGTTACCAGGAACCTGTTACAGGTGTGCTTTGTGACTGTGCTGGGGGGTCAGTTTTTGTTTATGTCTGACTTGATCTGTGTCCGTGAGGGTCAGTTTCTGACAGTTGTGTCTGCTGTGAACTGGCGTGCGTGCGTTTGTGTGTGTCCCTGTAGGAGGGTCACCTAGATCAAGCTGTGTGTCCAGGCGTCCCTGTGACAGGTGTGTGTGTGTGTGTGTGTGTGTGTGTCCTGAGAAGCTCTCAGCCTCAGCCCGTGACTGCGTGTGTGCTGGGGGGTACCTTCCCCGTGGCAATGTTTGTGAACACAGTTTGTGGGTCCCCGTGTGCGCATCAGTGTGGGTGTTTGTGCAACACAGCCCCCTTCCCCTCCCCCTTCCTCAGTCGGCGTGTCCCTGGGGCCGTCTCAGCGAGCCGGCCTCTGTGTCTGTGCCTGGGTGCGTGAGCGTGTGCCCCAGTCAGCGTGTGAGTTTGCACATCCACGCCCCGGTCCAGGGTGTGCATTTGTGCGAGTGTGGCCGAGTGCCTGTGAGTCGGCTTGTCGCCGTGGCCCTGTCAGCACGTGACTTTGTGTTCCCTGGAGCGCCAGTCGGTCAGTCTGCGTACACGTCTCTGCGCGTGTGTCTGTGGGTCCCAGTCAGTGTGTCAGTGTGTCAGCGTGTGTGTCCGGCTGTCCCGCCGGCCCGGCCGCCCGCGTCCGCACGCCTCGGTCCTCCCCGCCGCGGGCCGGGCCCCGCCCCGCCCCCGGCCGCAGGGAAACCCCCGCGCGGAGGTAGGGGGGCGCGGCGCGCGCCTGCAAGTCCCGACTTGTCCGCGGCGGGCGGGCGGGCGGGCGGGGCCGTGGCGTCACGCGGGGGCGGGGCGTGGGACCCGCCGGGCGGGGGCGGGGCGGGGCGGGGCGGGGCGGCCGCCGAGCGGGCCGGGGATCCGCCGGGCGGCCTGAGACGCGGCGCGAGCCACATGCGAGCGGGCGCCTGGCGGCGGCGGCGACCACGGCCACGACGGCGGCGGCGGCAGCAGAATCGGCGGCGGCGGCCACGACGCGGACACGCCTGCAGCCTGAGCGGGAGCGGCGGCAGCCACAGCCACAGCCACAGCAGCCGCCACTGCAGTTAGAGCAGCAGTAGCCGCCGCCGCAGCAGCAGCCGCCGCAGCGAGCGGCGCTCGGCGGGCGCGCCCTCTCGAAGGAAGCCGCCCGCCCCCCCATCACCGCCCCCTCCGGCGTGTTCATGCCCCCGGGGTGAGTGTGCGCACCCCGAGTGCCCGCCGGCCGCGATTGGCCAGGCCGGGTGGGCTCCCTGGAGGAGGTGGCAGGAGTGCGCTGGGAGAGCAGTGGGGGCGCGCTGCATCCCCACACCGTGCCTCCCTCTCCCCCCACCCTCTATCCCACGAGCGACCCTGGGTTGGGGTCGCTGGGCGGGAGGCACTAAGGGTCCGGGAGCGCAGGTGCCTCAGCGGTCTGGCGGGTTTGTTTACAAACAATGGGGTGCGGGCTCGGCAGCGCCCCCTGGCGGCCAGTGCGGGCCCGGGGAAGTGAGTCGACCCCGACTGCCCCGGCCTCCGCAGTCCCGGAGGGGCGCGCGCGGGGTGGGGGGGCGGCTTGTAGGGGCGGCCACACCCCAGGCGCGCGCCCGCTGGGGGCGGCGACAGGGGGCGGCTCGCGGGCCGTGGAGTCTGCGGCTCCTGCGGGCGGGGGCTGCGCCCCAGCAACAGCCGGTTATTGGCCCCTCGTTCGCCTGGCGGGCGGGGCAGGCGCACGTGGCGGCGGCGGGGTGGGGGGGGTGCTGTGACAGCAGAGGGGGGCGTCTGGGCCCGCCGTGGGAGCGCGCGTGTGCGGGGTTGTGGATCTGCAGGTGTCTCGCCTGGGTGTGTGCGTGTGTCTGGCTCCGAGTTTGTGCTGGGGTCTGCAGGGGGTGGTGGTGTCCGTCCAGGGGAATGTTGGGGCTGCGGCCCGTCGGGGTGTGTGCTGGAGTCCCCATGTGTGTCTGTGTGAGGTTCTGTCTGTGCATGCCGTGCCCGAGGGACGGGTGCTGTTTATGTGTGGTGTACCTGTGTGTGTTGTGTGCTCTGTGAGAGTTGTCTGTGTGTGCTGTTTGGGGGTGATTCTCTGGGTCTGTGTTGCCTGCGTGGGCTCCGGTGTGTGGTTGGAGTGTTTGTGTGTTGCTTGAGTGAGCTGTGTCTGAGGGTCTCTATGTGTGTGTCTTGCCCTATGTGCTGTGTTTGTGTGTCCTGACTGTGTGTGTACTGTCTGTGTATATCTCCAGGGCATGGGTCTCAGCTAAGCGTTTGTGATGGTGTGCCTGCTGAATGCAACCTCTGTTTTCTGTCCAGGTGCGTGTGTGAGTTCTGTGTGTGTGTGTGTGTGTGTGTGGTGGTGGGGGGGGTCTCGGTCTGTGTTTGGCTTGTGTGTCTGGCATCCGTGTCTGGGAATTGAGGATCTCAGCTCTGTGGGGTCTGTGCAGTGGTCAGTGGGTGTTGCTGGCAGCCTCTTGTAGTGTGGGGCTGTGTCTGAGCCTGTGTGTGTGTGTGTGTGTTGGGTCTGAGGGGCTTGTCTCTGTGATCCGCTGGCTCATGTGTGTCATGTGGGCTGCGTGTGTGGAGTGTTTATGTCAGTCACGTGAGACCAGTGTTTTCTGTGGGTGCTCTAGGTGTGCGCGCCGCCACGGCTGTGTGGGATTAGAGTTCGCTGGGTGTGTGCGTGTGTGCGTGTGTGTCCGGGGCTGACAGTTGGTGATGGTGTTTTGAGGTTGGCGGAGGAGGGTGAGTTGATGTCTGCTCTTTTGCATCTGTGTGTCGTTGCTGGTGTGCGTGGTGATGCATCTGGGTCTGATGACAGGAGTCCGCGTGTGCCCACTGTACGTGTGTCCTGGGGTCTGAGAGTTGGTGACCCGGGCGGGGGGGGGGCGGTTTCGGGTGTGTTGGCCTGCGTGTGTCCATGGATGTCCGTTTGGTGTTGATATTTGTGTAAGTCCTGAGGTGTGCAGGTCTGACCTCGTGGGTGTGTATGGGGGGGGGCATGTGTGTCGGAGAAGTGTGCCGGTGCCCAGGTAGTGTGTTTCTGTGTTTGTGATGGCTGTATTGTGTGTGTGTGTGTGTCCGCGGGCATGCATATCCACAGCGGGTAAGCGTGTGAGGTTCGGACAGTTCGTATCTGTGTATGCACGGGGACGGGGGGTGGGTTGTAGCAGTCAGTCTGCATTGTGTATACACTCTTCTCATGGTCTGTGTGTATGGGTATGTCCACGTTTTGGTCGGGGTGTGTGTGTGTGTGTGTGTGTGTGTCCTGTATTGGGTAGCACTATCAGAGACTGGAACCATTTCTGTGCAAATGGGAGATGAGGGGGGAGGCCAGGCTGGCCAGTCCTGAGTGAGTCCTTCCATGTGTGACATGTACCCTTCGCACCTCCCCCCCCCCACTCGTCTTTGCCATTTGGGTCCCGCATGAGTCCCTGTGTGTGCGCATCACTGTGTTCCGGAAGTTAGCCCCACCAGCCCGTGCCCTGGGTGACTCCCAGGCTGGGTGAGTTTGTGTTTTGAGACTGTCTCCCCTCCTGCACACACACACCTGACAGACTCCTCCGTCTGGGTCCTGTGTGAGCCCTTGGGCTTGCTGTGAGAGCCGTCCTGTGCCCCCTTCCTTGTCCGTCGTGTGCATGGGAGGCTGTCCCCACCTGGGCGGCCCTGCGTCAGACCGTCGGTGGGCATGTGTCTTGTGGGGCCATCACACCCGCCTACAGTGTCCCATCTGGGCCGTTTGTTGTGGGAGCCTTCCCTGGGCTTCCCTGCCCCCCAGATGTGGTGATAGCTGTGTGCAGGAATGGGGGTGTCCTGTGTACCCCAGGTAGGGTGTGTGTATTGTGGGGCCCTGGTGCCCCCGGCACTGCCCGGCTGACTGCACCTCTCCCCCTGTCCTGCAGGCCCCAGGGAGCGCCATGGCCCGAGCACGCCAGGAGGGCAGCTCCCCGGAGCCCGTAGAGGGCCTGGCCCGCGACGGCCCGCGCCCCTTTCCCCTCAGCCGCCTGGTGCCCTCGGCCGTGTCCTGCGGCCTCTGCGAGCCCGGCCTGCCCGCCGCCCCCGCCGCCCCCGCCCTGCTGCCCGCTGCCTACCTCTGCGCCCCCACCGCCCCGCCCGCCGTCACCGCCGCCCTGGGGGGCCCCCGCTGGCCTGGGGGTCCCCGCAGCCGGCCCCGAGGCCCGCGCCCCGACGGTGAGTGCCGCCCCACGCCGGCGCCCCGGGATGATGGGAGCCAGGAAAGAGACACTGAGGAACTGGAGAAGTGGGAGCGAGTGGGGGGAGGTGGCGAGCCGGCCGGGCCACAGGGAGGGTGTGGCCAGTGTGGTCTTTGTGTTGCAAGAAGCAGGAAGACGGAGTGGGAGGCCGGGGGTGGGGGGAGGCCGAGTGGGAAGTCCCTCCTGGAATCTGACTGCAGTCCCCGAGTTGCAGCCCACGGCCTCTTCCGGGCCCGGGGCAGCAGCTGTTTCCCAGCCCCCCTCCCCTAGTCTGGGTCTCCTTAACCTCCCCGAGGACTGTAGTTGGAGAGAGCGTGGGCAGAGCGAGAGGACTGTCACTTCAGGACTTGGGGGGGGGGGGCGGTTGGCCTTTTGCCTTTATCTGCATCTCTGGCCAGGGCCGCCCCTCTCCGCAGTCCGGGAGGAGGAAGGAGAGGGGGAGGGGCCATTGTGTGGGGAAAGTGGGGGTGGGGGAGGCGAGAGAGTGGGAAAGTGAGTCTTGGGGAGGGAAGGGTTAAAGGTCCCCTACCGGATGGGCTGTTAACCCTGTGGTGCCCTGCTAGCCCCATCCCGGCGAGCACGCTCGGTGGCAGGGAAGATTGTCCTGCTCTCCCCCCCCACCCCAACCCCTCACCTTGTCCCTGGAGCACCACGGAGGGCAGGGGAGAGAAAACTTCCCCGGCTGGGTTCCCTGGCAGCGGGGTTCAAGAGGGGCCCCGATTTCAAGACCACAGGCCTAGGTGTGGAAACTGAGGCCCCGATTTTAGGCCTTAGGATCCCTCTCACCAGGACCTGGTGTGACTGGAGGGAGGCAGAGACTGCGGGGCGGCTCAGAAGGGGGTGGGGCAGGAAGGCATCTCCCGAATCCCAGCCCCCCAGGGCCCGGGCTCGCTCGGAGGCAGCCAGTCTGGCCTTCTGGTCTCCGTGCCCCTGCCACATCCGGGGGTGTGGCTTCACTGTGGTTGGACACCAGAGGGCAGGAGACCTGAGGCTTGTGACTGGGTGTAGTCAGTCGCCGTATCCCTATGTGACCTTGGGCCACTTCTTAGGGTGGGCCTCAGTTTCCCCATCTGTTAAATGGAGCCGCAAAATTTGGTCCCGTTTTGGAATAGTTGGGTCGGATAAGAGGGAGGACTTCCAGACTAACACGGGTAGTGGGGTGGTAGCTGGTTAGGCAGGTAACCCCCAGAGAGGCCTCCTCAGGACCTCTTCATGCTTTCTGGTGCCTGGGGAGCAGAAGCTGAGAAATCTGGCTTTAGGAGGGGAGAAACGGAATCGGTAGAAATGGGGCGGGGAGCAGAAAGGAAATCGGGAGGCTGGAAAAGGGAGAAGCGGGCCCTGGCTAATTGGTCCCTCGGGGCCACCTCAGGGCCTACAAGGGGTGGCGGGTGCTGACCACGCCCCCTCTCTCCCCCGCCCCCCCCGTCTTTTCCCAGGTCCTCAGCCCTCACTCTCGCCGGCGGAGCAGCACCTGGAATCGCCGGTGCCCAGTGCCCCGGGGGCCCTGGCGGGCGGCCCCACCCAGGCAGCCCCGGGAGTCCGGGGGGAGGAGGAGCAGTGGGCCCGGGAGATCGGGGCCCAGCTGCGGCGGATGGCGGACGACCTCAATGCGCTGTACGAGCGGCGGGTGAGTGCTGGGGGCGGGGTAGACGGCAGGTGGGGCTTCCCGCCCGGGAGGGGGCTGCGGGCGGGCCCCGCCAGATGTGCGGCAGCTGCTGCCCGGCGCGGCGGGGTCGCGCTGGGGACAGGCAGGTGGGAGGGGCGGCGGGCCCGCGGACCTGCCGAAGGGCCCGCGCCGCGGCTGGCACAGGCCGGGCGAGGGTCGGGGCTGCCTCGAGCGCCGCGGCGCGCCCGGGGCCCGCGGCCGCGGGGACTGAGGGCGGCGCTCGGCGGAGCGGCTCATATATCCCGGGCTATTTATAGCCGGTGAGTCAGCAGCGGCGGCGCGGCCGCACCCGCCCCTCCCACCCGCCGGCGCGCGCGGCCCGCAGCGCGCCATACAGCCTCCCGGGCGGCGGCGGGCGGGCCCTGGAGCCCCGCCCCCGCGGGAGGCCCCGCCCCAGCCCACGCCTCGGCCTCTCGTTAAAAGAAAATCTTTGAAGCCTATGGCTTAGAACAGAGAATAACGAATATCAGGGCGCCGACCACCCAGCTCTGTCCAATCTGAACATTACACCCGCAGTGCTTGCTTGTTGAAAGAAACAAAACCCGGATGTTGTCAAGCCCCTTGTTCTCCTCCCTGACCCTCTCCTCCTCCCCCTTTCCAAAGGACACCTCTCAAGCGGGCATGTCCCCTGACTCCGCAGGTGTTGATTCTTTTACTACCTATTTATCAGGCCACAAACAATGCTGCATATACGTGGTGTGGTGTGTCCCTCTCCAAACTTTTCCCCCCGTATCAGGCTTTGAGATCGATCCATGTGGGCAAAGCAGCTTGTAGTTCCTGCATTTCCCCTGCTATGTAGCATTCTGTTGGATCAACACATAGTATCCTTGTTCATTTTCTCATTGATGAATATTTAGGATTAAAAAAAAGAATGCTTCAAATTTCATTGGCTTGGGTTTTTGTGTGGCTTGGTTTTTTTTTTTTTTTTTTTGGTTTTTGTCTCTTTCCGATGATGCACATCTGCAGTGCACTTGTGTGTACCTCTGGCGTAGATACCTGGGTGCTCTGCCCACCTCAGCTTTACTAGATGGTTGCTAGCTTGCTCACAGAGATGACTGTGCCAGGCAGCACCCCTCAGCAGTGAGACGTTGGCAGGCTTTCCAACTAATGCCATTCTGACGTGCCCCCTTTGCCACCTCCTGGCTGCAAGAGTTGGTGGGGAGTGATGAGAGGGTGGGGATTGGTACAAGGCATCCCACAGCCTGGCACCCACTAGGATCATCAGGATGGTTTATCTGACTTTGTTCTCATCTGTCAGAAGAGTTTCTCATCCTTTCACGGGGATGAGACTAGGTGGGCCCTGCTTATTAGCAGCGGGCCTGGCCATGCACTCAGGATAGGGGGTGGGAGAGTGCTACAGCTTACCTTTAATTCCTACTGGTGGGGAGTCTTTTCTTCTATGTGGCTTCCTTCGTTCTCACTTGCCTAGCAATTTGGAACTGAGAGGGTCCTAGAGGCCACCCCAAGCCTTCATCCTATCCTGTTGCTGGAAAGAGGGCAGGGGTTAACTTTGCCTGGATATATTTCTGTGCAGCCTCAGCAAAGAATGTGAACTGTGGTTCCCAGGGCCTGTCCTTCCACAGATCATTCTAGAATCACTGAGACGATGGGCTCCCCGCTCCCTTCTCTCTCACTTCCCAGCCTTTGAGGGGAGGGCAGGACAGGGCGCCATCCAGCCTCCCCCACCCCCACAACGCCCCAGCCCTGGCTGACTTTGGTTGGGAGACTAGGGGAGCACTTGCTGGGCACAGGCAGTGCTGAGGGCATTCGGTCCGCATCCTCTCCGTCCTGTTCTGTTCTAGATGAGGTTACTGTCCTCGAGGTGACGACGTGGGCCCAGGTGGTGGGAGGAGCTGGGATTTGGACCCAATCAGCAGTAATAGTACCTACTGCTGAGGGTTGGGGGAGATTGTAGGACCATGCCTCCCTCCTCACTGCCCTTGGGCCTAACCACCCACGTGCCTGGGTCCCCCTGTGGCACACTCACTCTGACTTCCTCTTCTCCCTTCTCCCTAGAGACAAGAGGAGCGGCAGCGACACCGCCCCTCACCTTGGAGGGTCCTGTACAATCTCATCATGGGACTCCTGCCCTTACCCAGGGGCCGCGGAGCCCCGGAGATGGAGCCCAATTAGGTGCCTGCAGCTGCCCGGTGGACGTCAGGGACTTGGGGGGCAGGACCCTCCCACCTCCTGATGCCCTGGCCAGCGCGGGGGACTTTTTCTGCACCATGTAGCATACTGGACTACCAGCCCTGCCTGTCCCAGGGGCAGGCCAGGGCAGCCACTCCAGCCCCAGCCCCGGCCTAGCCTGGGTGCACTGATGGGAGATGTGGACTCCTGGGTCCCTGGCTGGGAAGCCAGGGGAGAGAGGGCTGACGGACTCAGTGTCTGAAGGCAGCGGTGACGGAGAGGGTGGGGACGGAGCCGCCCGCCTCTGCCGCCCACCACCATCTCAGGAAAGGCTGCTGGTGCTGGCTGCCCGTTCCAGCTGCAGGGGTGACACTGGGGGGAGTCTCCCTCCCAGTGCTCCTTGACTTTGGGCCTGGCCTCAGGCCCCTGGTGCTTCCCCCCCTCCTCCTGGGGAGGGGGCCCATGAAGAGCAAATGAGCCAAACGTGACCACTAGCCTCCTGGAGCCAGAGAATGGGGTGGGTCTGATGGCTGCCCCAGCCCAGCGCCCAGCCATCTTCCCTGAGCCAGCCGGCGGGTGGTGGGCATGCCTGCCTCACCTTCATCTGGGGGTGGCCAGGAGGGGCCCAGACTGTGAATCCTGTGCTCTGCCCGTGACCACCCCCCGCCCCCATCAATCCCATTGCATAGGTTTAGAGAGAGCACGTGTGACCACTGGCATTCATTTGGGGGGTGGGATATTTTGGCGGAAACCGCCCCAGCCTTAGTCCCCAGGGCGAAGCGCTGGGAGGGAGACGGGGAGTCAGGGAGGGGGGGAAATCGCAGAAGAGGGAGGAGTCTGGGAGCGGGGAGGGAAGGCCCAGCCTGTAAAATACTGTATATGCGCTGCTGTAGATACCGGAATGAATTTTCTGTACATGTTTGGTTAATTTTTTTTGTACATGATTTTTGTATGTTTCCTTTTCAATAAAATCAGATTGGAACAGTGGATACTCTTTCTGCTTTCTTTCCCCAGTGCCTGGCCGGGTCCAAGCCTCTGTGACCTCTATCTGGGACGAGGTGGGAGGTGGGAGAGGCGGTCCACAGAGCACATCTGGCTGTCCAGCTGTATCCAAAGGGAGGCTAAGGAGCACGGGCGCCACTGTATATACCCAGGCCTCGTGCCTCCCTACACAACTCCCATTAAAAGCAAAGCCCTATCCAAGTACTAACCAGGCCCAACTCTGCTTAGCTTCCGAGATCAGATGAGATTGGGCGCGTTCAGGGTGGAAGGGAAAAATGAAGGAGGTAAATCGGAGAGGGAGACGAACCATGAAAGACTATGGACTCTGAGAAACAAACTGAGGGTTCTAGAGGGGAGGGGGGGTGGGGGGATGGGTTAGCCCGGTGATGGGTATTAAAGAGGGCAGGTATTGAATGGAGCACTGGGTGTTATTCGCAAACAATGAATCATGGAACACTACATCAAAAACTAATGATGTAATGTATGGTGATTAACATAATAAAAAAAACTTATTTACTGGACAACAACAAAAAAAGCAAAGCCCCATGAGGGCTGGGCTTTGTTTTGTCGTGTTTAAGAGTTTATGTTTAAGTCATCTCCACACCCAACGTGGGGCTCGAACTCAAAACCCGAGATCAAGAGTCCCACACTCCACCCACGGAGTCAGCCAGGACCCCAAGGGCAGAGGGGTGGGTTTCTTTGGTGCTTTATCCTCACTTTATCCCCACTGGATAAAATTATGTCCTGGAAGCTCCACATTTACTGAATGAATGAATAACCTAGAACTTCTTCAGAAGCACCACCACAAGGAGTCCTGGGGCACATGTTGGGAATGAGGCTGACCTTGTCCCCGCCCTGGTGGCGGGAGAGCATCTCAAGCTAAGATCAAAGTGGGGCTTCACCCATGCGGCTGCCCTAAGGCCGAACATGCCGCTTGGCATAAAAAGCCTGTGGTTAATTAATATAAGAAGGGGAGCTCCTACCGTTATCTTCCTGAAAACAA